GCGGCCTCGTTCCCGGGCCCGGTGAGAAAGCAGGACCTGCTGTACTAGCAGGTAGTAACATCCACGTGTCGGATGCCACAGGATCAGGTGGAGATGCTCAACCTTATCAGTAGGGAAGAAGAGAATGGAGCCCCGGGAGTTACCAGTTTATACAACCAGGCTGAGTTGGGATTAACCAGATGCCATGGAGGGTTGGCATCCAGGGTACCCTGGACTGTGTGCAGAGGACCACATGGGGCCACCTTGGAGGATGGAGGGGTCTGTGCCTGGAGTGAAACAGAGTGGAGCCACAGAACAGTCAATATGAACCTTGGCCACTCACTGCACCGCAGCACATTCAGACACACAGAGCCTTCATGGGTGTGACGTGGACAGTCTTTCCAGAGAGGAACAAATTGGGGCAGGAACCTCACCTAGTGTGGTCCGCTGACTTGTGCAGAACTTGATAAAGCTCTCTGACATGCATCTGCTGTTTGTCTTAGCTCAACTGCCATAACAGAATATCATAGATAGGGTGGCTTAAACAGCAGGCAGGCGTTTATCTTCTCTGTTCCAGAGGCTATAAGTCAGATCAGAGTGCCAGCAGAGCAGTTTTAGTAGTGCCCCTCCCTGGGAGCAGGAAGTGCCTCCTCATGTGTTTTGTGGTAGAGAGCCCCTGGAGTACTAATCCCATCAATCCTCATGACCTCATCTAACCCTAACTGCTGCCCAGAGGCTCCATCTTCAAATCCCATCACATGGGGGTCAGGGTTTAGGGACACAGGCTGGCAGAGTGGCTCAAGTGGTAGAACACCTAACTAATAAGCACAAGGCCTTAAGTTCAAACCCCAGCACTACCAAAGTAAAAAAAGAAAGGATTTAGGGACACAAATGTCCTGCCAATGGTGGTACTTAATACAGTTAACATTTGAGAAAAGCCTCCATTTATGGGAGGGAGCCCCTTGGGGCCAGTTGGCAGGAGCCCTTACCCCTCAGGAGGTCTGCTGTGGCTGCCTGTTCTGTGCAGCACTGGGTCCTTTCCTCAGTGTGACCTCCAGGTCTGTCCCCTGCCACACCATACTGCAGATGCCCCTGCTGGACAGAAAAGCCAAAGGAAGGCCACTCTATAAACTCCAAGCTGACTGCCTTCTATTTCTTTGCCCATGAGCCTGCACTAAGGTTCAGGTAGCAGAGAGAAGCAGGCTCAAGAGCTGCTTGGCCTGTACCTCAGGCTCCCACAGGAGCAAGGGATCCTTCTGCTGGCTGGATCCTTCCCTTGTAGCCTTGGTTCACCTGTGAGTGCTGAGCCTCCTCCAACCTGGGGCACTACTACTCCCGGAATCTGTACTCAGGAAGAGATGGGGACACCTAGGGGTGGGGACAATGTGCTGTTCAGAGGGCTAGGCTGTGACAGCCACTGAGCCACAGAACAGGGTCTGTCTTTTCTTCCTGAAGACATCTGCTGCCTTGGCATGTTCTAGGAGAGGCAGCTCCTTCAGGGTCCATGGACTCACCCCCATATACTCACCTGCCTTCCTCCAGCTGGGCTTGCATCTCACTGGGAGTGGTACAGAGCCTCTGACCCTTCCATCCCCATTCTTAGGGGCTTCTCACATCCCTGCCCTCAGCCATCATCCTGTCTTCCCATCCCCACCTATCCTGCTCAGCCCAATCAACATCACAGTGACCTAGTGAGGACAACTGCCATGGCAGCCCCGCCTAGAGCAGCTGAAGGTGACAACAGGGATCAGGCCAGCCCTGGAGGGGATAAGTCTGAAGGTTGGGTGGCAGCAAACAGCACTGGACACTGGAGCCAACTGGCCCTAGTCAGGAACAGGAGGTCCTCTGGCCTGACCTGTACCTCTGAGTGGGTGGGTGGGGTTGGATCAGCAGTCTTTTGGCCCAGGAAGTACAGCTGGTGGGGAGAGCCCCACCATTGGCCCTGAGAGCCCAATGGACAGGGCCTGAATTTGCCTAGAGGAGAGCAGTGTCAGACCTGATTACGCTGGGTGCAGTTCCCTAGGGCTCCTGGTCTGGACTGGTGTGGTTTACCAGGGAAGTGGTTCCCCTGGAACCCTTCAGGCAGGATTCATAAACTGTGTCCCCAGGCCAGGTATAAATGTCACTACAGATTTGTCCTCTCATCAGGACGGACCTACTTTCTCCATGGTGGGTCCAAGGGGTGCAGTGATGCTGCTTTAAGTACACCGGGACAGGTGTGCACTTTCCCAGCATCGCAAGGGGGCTTCCTTTGTTGTCCTTCCAGATCCCTGTATAGGGCTTTGCCAGGCGCAGCTCCTTTTCTCAGAGCCTTCCTGCCCAGGACTCCCACCACACACCTGACGAGCCTCCTGGTTCCCAGGAGCTACTCCAACCCTGACAGAGCAGGGAAACACACAACAGGAGACCCTGGTAGATTGGAGGTCCCAGGGTTGAAGAGGATGGAGGAGAGAAACTGCCCTGAGGACCTAGGCAAGATTCAGGGCATGGGCTTCAAGCAGGCAGTCAGGCTATAGGTCTCTCAATGGACCCTGGTGGGCCATAGGCATTCATTGATGGCCTACAGGGAGGCACCCAGAATTCCCCAGCACAAGGAGGTCTTTCCTTTTCTGCTAGAGAAAGGCAGATAGGAACCAGAAACACCGTCGAAAACATCCTTATCCATACCTACCCTAGAGCTAACAGGTTACCATCTGTCATGTTTGCTTCAGCTCTGTCTTCCCCCATAAAAAAAAGGAAGTTTTAAAAAGAAAGCTGAAGTCCCTGTCCTGTCCCCTCCTCATGTATGAACCCACTTGGACTGTGCATGTGTCCACAGCCAAGCATCACCTGTGGATCCCATGTCATTCAGGTTTATCCTACAGCCCAGGTCTCTATCTGAGGCTGTCCTTTGCCCAGGTTATAAGCCTCAGTGTAGAGTGGTTTTTGGGCTACAGCTTGGCACCATCTGCCAGGCAAGTGAGGCAACCCCAGGAAACACTGACCTGATGGATCTTGGAAAGGAAGGAGCCAGTGCCCAAGGGAAGGGCTGCTGTACAGAGACAGCAGAGGGGCCAGGCAGACAGAATGGGCACCTAGATTTTAGATGTCTGACAGTGGCTCACAGTAAGCAGGGACACCGTTCATCAGAATAGACCCTGAGTAGGCTTGGGTGCTGGTGACCCTAGGGGCCTATGGTGCAGACCTGGGGGGATGATTCTGGAGTAGATCTGTCACTCTCTGGGTGATCCCAGCCTTCTGCAATGGTGCATCGCACTGACCTTGCCCCGTGGGGGGCTCAGTACCAGGTCTCCATACCATTCTTCCTGCATGCCCATTACTTGCAGCTTGAACACAGCTTCAGAGACATCCAGGTCCCCTCCTTCCACCCATCCATTGCTCTAGTCTGAATGTTTGTGTTCCATGTGCCACAACAGCTCAGGTGAGGCATAAGAGTGATGTGGCCACTGCTGCCCTTCTTGTGTTCACCATCCTAAACTGGGCTTTTTTTTTTTTTTTTTTTATGGTGGTACTGGGGTTTGAACTCAGGGCTTTGCACTTGCAAAGCAGATGCTCTACCACTTGAGCCACACCTCTAATCCATTTTGCTCTGCTTATTTTGAGATGGGATCTCACAAACTATGTACCCAGACTGGCCTTGAATCATGATCCTCCTAATCTCAGCCTCCCAAGTAGCTAGGATTATAGACATGAGCCACCAGCACCAAGCAACTGTGAGCTTCTTGACAGCAGATTGTGAAAGGGTCAGGGGACTTCCTAAGATGCCATCCCCCACCCCTTGGCCATCGTCAGATTGTCTGTTCCAAGAAATATCAGCCAATAAAAATGAGACCTCCTGCTGCACCTGAGCAGATGTGAATGGAAGTGTCTGTTTATGGAAGGTGGTCAAGGTCCTCCAGAGGCCACCTCTTGTCCCTTGTTGGAGCTGGTGTGAGCTGTAACTGTTGGCCAGCCTCCTCATTGATACTGGCCCTTGTGCTGCCAGGACCCCTGGGGATCTCCTGAAGGTGTCTCTGTATTTGTCTGACCCCTGCCAATTGGACAGAGAAAATGTCAGTGATCAAATGCCCCCTGGGAGCCCTGGGATACCTCAGTGACACAGACAGGATGATGAGGGCCCCCAGCTGTTCAGCTATGATCTCCACCTTCCTTCATGAGCCATGGAATTCAGAAACAATAGGGCCTGGCAGGGCTAGGAGCCAGTAAGCATTTATGAATTCCTGAGGGGCCATCCCATCTGGGGACAGGTGAGCCATGTGGAAATTCCAGGAGCCAAGAGGCCATTTCTGGAGCTGAGGCCTGGAGGGTTCTGGGGAGTCCTAGTTCAAGCCATGGTCTCCCTTCTGCAAGGGCTGCAGCAGGGCCCATCCAGAGAGTAACTCCCTGAGCCCATCCCAGTACTCAGGGGTGGCCATATCTAAGGTCCTCTTGGGGCCTAGTGAGACCACTCTTGGGGCTTAGGGTACCTGGACACTGGATTCTGGCTTGTATAGGACACAGCAGCCTACCACTCTCCACTGAGAAGAAGGGTTCTGTCTCTGCTGTCATTGAGAGAGGAGTGGAGGGCCCAGGATTTGGCTGAGTTAGGAACTGCTGCAGGTGGGGCTGATGGACCCAGGAGGGTAGGCATCCCTTACTTTTGGTGCTCTGGGGGCAGTAGGAGCCTCCATGAGGCTGGCCTGACCCACTGGTGGAATGGTCTTGGAGTTGGGCTGAGTCCCATGTATACTGTGCAATTCCTGCCCCTCTCCCTAAGAGAACCCCCTCCCCATGGCAAAGAGAGAGGGACACCTTTGGTTGGCCTCAGCCCCCACTCTACCTCCTGGAGTGTGACTCCAGCTAAGTGGCAGTCTGTCCATATCCCCAAGGGAAAGTGACCCAAGGTTCCCCCAGAAGAAACAAAAGAGTGTGGGCCGGGAGCCCCCCAGCCAGCTTGTTATGACCCTGGGTCCAGAGTGGCGAGGGAGGGGCCGGCAGGCCGTGTGTGGTAGCATGATGTGGGCATGCTTTTCTTGTCATAGGACTGACCAGCTGGGCATGTTCACGAACAAGGAGTTTGAACAACTGGCTCCTGTGCTAGATGGCTTCAGCCTCATGACCTATGACTACTCTACATCACAGCAGTAAGTGTGGGATTATGAGGCACTGGGAGTGTCCAGGGGGTTCAGACCAACACACTGGCCTCCCACTTAGACACCCTTTTGCTCATGGGCTCTGCGACTCAGCTCACTCAGATAGATGGTCACCTTCTCTGGACCTGGACACCTCCTGGTGAAGATGGTTGGTGCTATGTCTGCCCCGTGCTCAGGAGAGGTTGTCTTTGGGGGGAGTGGGGAACAGGAGGCCTGCCTGGAGTGGAGCCATGTCACCAGGGGCATAGGCATGGTGTCTGTGCTGCCTCTGTCCTCAGTCTGTGAGCCATGTTGCTCCCAGCGATGCAGACACAGGCAGGTATCCAGCAGGAAGTACAGCAAGACTGAGTCTGTTGACCCCTCCTCTACCTGCAAAGTACCTTGCCCCATGTGGGGAACCCATGGGTTCCAGCAGAAGGTGCCTGGGCCACTTTACTGACAGCATTCTATAAAAGATGAGTCATTTCTGGTTCTTCCAACTCTAGAAAGACACTGGCTGCAGCATAGAGGGAGAATAGGCCCAAGTGGGCGGCCTGGAGGACTGAATTGGGGTCAGCAGGCTTTTTGCCTGCTGTTGAGACCCACTCTCCCTGTCATCCCGCAGGCCTGGCCCCAATGCACCACTGTCCTGGGTTCGGGCCTGTGTCCAGGTCCTGGACCCCAAGTCCCAGTGGCGGAGCAGGATCCTTCTGGGGCTGAACTTCTATGGCATGGATTATGCAGCCTCCAAGGAAGCCCGTGAGCCCGTCATTGGGGCTAGGTAAGCCCAAGGTCCCCCGTCACTGGGGCTAGGTAAGCCCAAGGTCCCCCGTCACTGGGGCTAGGTAAGCCCAAGGTCCCCCGTCACTGGGGCTAGGTAAGCCCAAGGTCCCCCGTCACTGGGGCTAGGTAAGCCCAAGGTCCCCGTCACTGGGGCTAGGTAAGCCCAAGGTCCCCCGTCATTGGGGCTAGGTAGGCCCAAGGTCCCCCGTCATTGGGGCTAGGTAGGCCCAAGGTCCCCCGTCATTGGGGCTAGGTAAGCCCAAGGTCCCCCGTCATTGGGGCTAGGTAAGCCCAAGGTCCCCTGTCATTGGGGCTAGGTAAGCCCAAGGTCCCCTGTCATGCTCCAGATGTCACAGGTGTGGGACTGTCGCTCCCCAAGAGGGGAAAAACAGCTGGAGTTGGAGAGGTTGCAGGGACAGAGATGTGGAATGGGTAGAAAGCCCCCATCCTGCATCGGTGCTTGCTCCATTCCAGCTTCCTTAGGGTGGCCACCTCTCCACAGTGCTAATTTGATAGCCAAGGGCTGCAGCTGAGGTGCTGCCCCTGAGCACAGCAGTCCTGCTGTTGGGCTTGGGAGTATGTGTGAAAGCTGGGTGCTGCTGGCTAGGCTTGACATAGCTGGGCTCAAAGTTCCTCTGGTCAGCACCTGAAGCACCTGGACCCAGCCAGGACCTGCTCCTTTTGGTCACCATCATTTTCTATGTCCAAGAGACTCCTCCAACATCTCTGGCTGTATGGTTTTGCTCGTGTGAAACCTTCCAGCTTGGTTGTGCTTTGTTTCTGGAAGTATCTCTGTTGGGTGTGGGGTCCAGAATTTTGGTCTGTGCTTGAAAGTATTGTCTCACCTTCTCCCTGTACTTTTCCTCCATTGCAAGCTTCAGTGCTTACCGCTGAGCTTGAGCAGTTCCATCAGGACGCATCTCAAGGTTTCTTGTCTGTATCCATTGAGCTCCCATGGATCTGTGCACTCACTTTTTGTCAGATTGGGAAAGTTTTTGGTGGTTTCTCCATCTCTGTCTTCCCTCCTCCCTTCCTCCACTCCCTTAGGGACTGTGAATGCATGAATGGTAGCTCTGTGTAATGGCCCGGTGGCTCCAGGACATGCATTTTTCCTGCTTCTTGGTTTCTCAGCTTTCTGTTGCTGTCTTCAAAGCTCATCTCTTCTGCCGTATCCAGTCTGCCGCCTATCAGGCTGTAGTTCTCATGTCTAGAGGTCTGTCCTGTGTCTGCTAAACCTTTACACATGTGGATTCAGCTCTCTTGACTGCTTAATGTCCTCAACTGTTCATCCTTACCTGTGGGTTGGTTCCAGTCAGTTTCCCCTCCGTGACTTTTCCCTCAGTGGGGGGCCTGTGGTACAGCTCCCAAGTATCTGGTACTCTTGGATTGGATGCTGGATGTTGCAAATTTTACTATTGGACACTGGATATTTTATTATTCTTACAGATCTTGGATCTTTATTCCAGGTGCAGTTAAGTTGCTTAGAAGCTGTTTGAACCATCCACTTTCCTAGTGGTCCTTTCCAGGGAAGATAGTGTTTAGACACCCAGATGTAGGTGCCACTGCTCACCGGGCTCAGCTTTTGTTTTTCTGGAAATCTCTGCAGGAGTCCTAGGCCCGTTCTCTGCAGAGGGTACAGCTGCACATTTCCCAAGGCAGGCGAGTAAAGGCCAGGCTGTCTGCACTGAGTGCTGATGTTCTGGCCAGACTCTGTCTCTGGGTTTCCTTCTGGTTTGGCCCTGGGAGAGGAGCAGAGCTTCTGGAATCACAGTCAGTAGAGGAGTTGGGGTACTTCTCTCTGGTGCCCCTAGCTGCTCTTGCTTTGAGGAGAAATGTTTATCAAGGCCTAGACTACCCCTGACTCGTCTGTCCCTCCATTGGTCCCTTGAGGATGAATAGCCACACCTGCTGATTTGTAGCAAGTTGGTGAGAAGTCACCTCACAGCTATGTCATGTGGTTAGAGACAGGTAGGATACAGACATGGGTCTGCTGCCTAGGTGGGGATTCCTCCTGCTCCACCCATGGCCCCTCAGGATCAACCTGGATTGAGATGGGGCACAGATCAGCTGCTGGGATGTAAACTGCCATGTCCCTTTAGTACAGAGGACAGTATCTAGTCACCCTGCCCTGCCCCCATCTGTCTTCCCGCTTGGCACTGCTTCATGTGGTGTGTGTGCTTTACCCTGCCCCCACAGCCATATCTGATACTGGGACTCCTGGGAAGGTTCTGGAAGTATTTCTGGAATCCCCTCTGTGCCCCCTTGGTACATCCCTGTTACAGTACCTGGCTCAGGAGTGACAGGTAGAGCAGCGTCCAGAGCTTGCAGCTGGCCCTGGCCTCTTCTGGAAGCCTGGCCATGACACCTGCTGACACAACATCAGCCGGAGTAGGATGGCATTCTCTGACTGAGGAGGGAGAGTTACCCAGTCCATAGCCACCTGTGCAGAGCAAGCTGTCCCACTGTGGGCCAGCCGTGGGCTCTGGTTTACCCAGGCCTCTGGTGGGGCCTTTAAAAGGGAGAAGATAGGACTAGAGTTGTGGCCCAAATGGTAGAGCACCTTCCTTGCGAGTGCAGAGTGCTGAGTTCAAACCCCAGTACCACCAAAAAAAAAAAAGAGATGTTGGCCTTGTGTTGCCATTTGCATTTGTCTCACACCTGTAATCCAGCTACTTAGGAGGCAGAAATCAGGAGAATCATGGCTCGAAGCCACACTGGGCAAACAGTTGGCCTATCTCGAAAAATACCTTCACAAAAAAAGGGCTGGTGGAGTGGCTCAAGGTGTAGGCCTTGAGTGTTCAAACCCCAGTACTAAAAAAAAGTTTACAGGACAGCATGAGAAACCCCACAGCCACACTAGAACTCACCACCATCTGCCCCATGGTGGCTGAAGGATTTCAGCCAGCCCCAGCCCCCAGAGCTCCAGGCACCATCTGAGCCAGTGACAGAGTGAGGTGTCCTCCATGCTTGTCCTCGATGTCCCCAACACGAGACTTTGGGCGCTGTGAGCGTCTCTGGCCTTCACTGACTAGCTCTGAGACCTCGGTACAGCTGCCTCTGCTGGGACAGGTGGCAAATCAGGCCTGCAACATGTACTACAAGGACCCCTCAAGCTCTTCTGTCTCCATGGGAGGAGGACAGAGAGCTGTGGGGGTTTTAGTTGGAATTACTACTAGATCCCATACTCAGAGCAAGAGTGCCTGCCTTGCAAGCATGAAGGGAAGTTCAAACTTCAGTACCACCAAAAATAAAACAAAAAAATCCCAATCCCAAAGTGTGCGAGGTCATTTAACCCTCTAAAGCCATGAATATTTGGCCCATGTTTGGTTGGTTTGTTTTTTGGCCTAGGCAGGCATTTTGTTTGTTTGTTTGTTTTTACCACTTGAGCCATGTCTCCAACCCTTTTTGCCTTGGTTATTTTGGGGATAAGGTTGAACGTTTTTCCCAGGCAAGCCTGGACTGTGATTCTCCTATTTATGCTTCCCATGTAGCTGGGATGCCAGGTGCACACCACTATGCCTAGCTAGTGGTTGAGATGGGGTCTTGTTAATTTTCCTGGGTTGGCCTTGAACATCAGTCATTCAGATTCTTCCCAAGTAGCTGGAATTACTGGTTTTGCTGTTCACAGGGCAGGATTGGGCATGACCCTGCCATCAGCCCTTCCTCCAGGAGAAGACCCGGGCCTGGAGTAGACAAAAATCTCAACAGTGCCCCCAGCAGCCCTCGGGCCGGGGCGGGGGGGCAGGGAACATCAGGGGATCCCTAGAAGGGCTTCTCTCTCTGCATACTCCTGAGCCCAGAACTGGGCCCTGGTAGGAGCAGCCAGGGCTGCTTTTTTACAGGGGCTCCCCATAACTGGGGCCCTGGTGCACCAGAGCAGCATTCACTCACTACAGTCACTCGTCCTCACAGGCCTGCATGTGGTGCAGTTCTGTATGACAGGTCTCACCAGCAAGCACTAGTTCCAGCTGCAGTGTTTTGTCAAGCAAGGTTAGAGCTCTGCGGCACTGCCTTCAGTTACGCTGCATCATAGGTAAACATGGTCAGTTGGAGGTAGCAGTGCAGCAGGCTCATAGGTGCTTCCTTGCCTGGTGGCTTTGCTCAGCATCAGTCTTCAGGTGTGAGTGGGCACACTGTGAGAACTGCACCCCCACTGAGCACCTCTGCTTTGCTTCAGGGGCTGCCAGGCCCACACCTTGCCCAACACCCTCCAATGACAAGCAAGCATTTGACATCCAGTGGTGATCCTATTCCTTTCTTCTCAGGGCTCAGAGTGAGACTGCATGGGATGGGGGAGCCTGTCACAGCAGAGGCACAAAGCTTGATTTCTTCCAGCATGGGTCACGGAACATGACCTCTCCCCTTTGAGGCCCAGTCCTTCTGATGGAGGTGAATCCAGACAGGAGAAGTAACATCAAGACTCAAGACAGCAGAAATGTTGGGGCCCAGCTGTAGGCCCATAATGTACAGGCATCAAGGGGGAGGGACTGCCTTTGTGAGGGGCAAGGAAGGAATGGAAGGTGCATGTTGGCTCAGCGTCTAGCTACCCCCCAAACATAGCTCACCAGGATGCAGCCCCTCATACCAGTCACCATGGTGTCGCTGCTGATGGTCCCACCTGTGCAGGTAATGGCCAGGTATGCAATGCAGGTGAGCCTCATGGACACCAGGCTCCCTCCAGCTCTTTTGGAATGCAGCTGCCCTTATAGTGAGAGTCTGGGCAGCCTCTCTCAGGATGATCTGCTGACCCTATCTTAGCCTCCAGCATTAGGCCCTGGGCCCTTCCGGGAATGGGAGGAGATCAGTGGCCTCACCATCTGCTCAGCCATACACAGAGCCAAAACCATGTGGTGTGGGAGATTGGCCAGCTCACTCAGGCTGGTGGCCATGTTGTATTCATCCTCCACCAACCAGGCTGGCCATCTGTGCCTGACCCAGGATAGGGTCTGCAGCGTGGTATCTCTTATGACTATGGTCAGGCTCCTAGTGGAACCCTGGGGTGTCCTGGTCATCCCTGTCTTTAAAGCAGTCTAGGCAGCTGTGGCACATTCCCAGAAGAGGACCAAGTCCAGCTCAGGGAGTGGCTGGGTTCCCTCCATCACTAAGGTTCATGTCTTCCATGGATTTGTGAGACTGTGTCTGCCAAGCCACCACATTGAAAGGCTGCCCTGCTACTATTGTAGGCCAGGATGTCCCTCACTGCCCAGGGGCTCTGCCTGGCCTTAGCCAGGCCAAGGTGGAAAGCAATGACAGAAGGCTTTGCAAGCAGGAAGCCATGAGTTCAAACCTCAGTCCCACCAAAACAAACCCAAAAACACTTGGGGCTCCATCCCACTACAGAGGCCCTGTCTTCCCACGAAGATCTCCTCCCACAGGGTTCATGAGCTCTGGGCTGGTCCTCAGAGTGTCCCTATGGGGTGAGTTTCTCACAGAAGGAGAAACTGAGGTTCATGGTGTCTGTGCTTGTCCCTGTACTTACTGCAGCCAGATTGGTTAAGCATGGCACAGGGGCTCTTATGCCCCTCACCATATGGAAGCTATACCCAGGTGGCCCGTGTCCTCCCACTCCACTCACGCCTCCAAGACATGGAATCATTTCCTAGTGACAAGCCATTGCTGTGTTGTGATAAATCAAGTCCTGCTGGTCAGGAAGTGTGTGGGATCCTCAGGCACAGGCTGTTGATGTTCCCACACACAGTGATGCTGTAATTACCCCTTCATACATCTGAAAGTCAGTGAGGCCCAAGCTGCCAGTCAGTCAAGAGGGGACAACCCTGCTGGTGCTAATGGGCACCTCCACCCTGCCCTGCCTCCACCACATGACCCCACACACTACAAGTCCCTCTGTCCACATATCTGGTGACTGCTTTTGTCCTGTGGTGAGTGCAGCATAGATGCTGCACTTGAATTCAGGTGAGGCTTAGATGCGTGGTACTCACTCCCTGCCTATTCTACACGTGCCTCCCCTGTCCCAGCCAGCCAAGGGCCACCTCCCCAGATCCTTTCCTGCTCAATCTAAGCTGGCTTTGTACATGGATGTCCTGATGTCCTGAAACATCCTGGTCAAACCGTCTTGTGAAGTTTTTTGAGCAGCTGCTTGAGTAGATCCCAGGATAGAGAGTGCTTCCTCCCAGCTTGCGTGAATGTGCGGTGAGGATGGTTCACTCAAGGTCTCCCTTGAGCTGGCTCTCAGCTGAGGTGTCAAGTGAGGGCCACGTCTCTTGGCAGGTAACCAGTGCTCCCACTGGGCAGACGCCATGGGGCTGGACCCCAAGCAGGTCAGGGCAATGGAGAGGCCTGGTCTTCTGCCCTGCTGGGGTGTCCCCAGCCTATCTTCCATTGGTCCTGTCCTGGCAATGAGTCTAACTGTGGTCAGTCCTCAGGGGCTCTCTGGTTCAGTGTGATGGAGAAAGTTCCTTAGATCTGGCTCGACTAGGAAGGGTCAGGACCGCTGCTTCAGCTAGTATGTAGGATTGTAGCCTAGATCCATGTCACTTCTGCAGACCCCACCATGGGGGCTGGAGACCCTGCTGTGGGAGCATAAAGGCCCACTGTGGATGGATTTGGTCTGTGGATTTTCCCCTCCATGACCAGTTTTGTCCTTTGTCCTCTGCCTGTGGCCATGGCAGACTCCCTGAGCTCTGGCCAAGCCTTCCACCTGCCCATGCGTCCTGCTTTTCCCTTCATATGGAGTTCTTTTAAAACCAGAAGGTTTCCAAGCTGGTTTCTGTGGGGTCATATACCCTCAGGCCAAGGCGGCCCAAGAACATCTTTCTCCCTGTAAACATGTAGGACATCCTCTCTGCCTCTGGGTCTCTTAAGTTCCTGTGTAGCATGTCCAGATGAGTTTTCACATATGGTTCTGTCCAGCATCCCTGACCCTTCCAATGTGATATAATTACATACCAAAAAGTTCCCCATTTCAAAGCATGTGGTTCTGCGGCATTCGTGACGCTGTGCAACCCTCACTGCTTGTGAGGTTTCATTTCTCCAGAACATTTTTATCACCCCAAAAAGAAGCTTGTACCCTTTACTAGTCATGAGTCATTTCCCTCCCCTGACCTCTAACCTGTGTCATGTCCCTGTGGATTTGCCTGTTCTGGACATTGCACATAAATGGAATCACTCAGTCTGTGGCTGAGGCCTTTAATTTTAGTTTAGGGAAATACTTAGTCCTATTTTTCTTTCCTTTTTTAGAAAATTATTTTTATGTGAAGTTAATGGAATGCAGACATCATTGACATTTTTTTAATTCTCGCGGTGCTGGGGATCAAACTCAGGGTCTTGTGCATGCTAGGCAAGTGCTATACCACTGAACTACATCCCAGCCCTTTTTTCTTCAGACAGGATGTCACTATGTTGCCCAAGCTGGTCTCAACTCCTGGGCTCAAGTGATCCTCCTGCCTCAGACTCCCAAGTAGCTGGAATTACAGGTGTGTGTCATTGCACCAGCTTCTTTCTTTCTTTCTTTTCCTTTCCCCTGCCCCCAGCTCTAGGGATTGAACCCACAGCCTCTTGCTTGCTGGGTAAGTGCTCTCCCACTTGAACTACAACCCCAGCCTCACCAGCTTCTCATTTCTTAAATACTTACTATCCTGTCCTCTGGGCTTCCAGTGATGCCCATCACCAGTCCTGCCCCATCCTCTGGGCTTCTTTTTCCTCTGCCTTCTCTGTAAACCTTCCTTCCTCCTACACAGGCTCCCCTCCCCATTAGTGCATGTTTCCTGTCACCCTGCTTGCTGTGGCCTGCACCTACTCCCCCAAAAAGCATATGTGGCCATTACTGTAGCTCCTGGAAGCCTAGCCCACAGGTGGGGCATACTAGTCATGCTCCTAGGGGGTCCCACATGAACCCTAGAAGAGGCCCCAAGCCCAGGCCTTGGCTTCTGCAGTGCTTTTGGGGTGAGAAGGTTGCAGGGCAGGAAATTGTAAGCCCAGGCATCTGCCTTCCAGCCCTTCTGGGCATCTGCATGTCCACCTTGCAGCCCTCAATGGCTGTCATCTGTCTGCTGTGATCATCATGTGGGTAGGCCGAGGGACGAGAAGCTCAGGCAGCCTGTGCCTGTAGCCCCCCTCCTTGCTGGCCCCACACCAAGGTGGTAGCTGTACCCTGGCTCCTCAGAGCAGTCACACTCAGGCCGTTTACCTGACTCTCTTCTCTTCATCCCCAGGCCCTGTTTAGGGGAACAGTTCCTGAGGTCTGTGTTCAGGGGAGGCATAGGGTCCTGGTCACTGCCCTGGTCACATCTGCCAACCCCTTCTACATCACGTAAGCCCCCTCCCTGGACCTCGTGAGGGGCAGGACCCAGTGCTCTCAAGTATTCTGACCAAGGTTCCAGCCTTGGCTGCCCCCACCCCAAGGCTGCAAACCTTTTTTTTTCTCTTTTGGCTAGGGGGCACAAAGGCCCCAAGGAGGGAGGAGTGTGTGTGGCGAGAGCTCCCCACAGGCCCATGGACCACCTGCTCCGCAGCCTCTGCTCACGACCTGCATATCTCACACTACATCATCACTTTGAGTGATGTTTTAGTCAAGGTTAAAGCTGGTTGACAGGAGTCAGGCACCAGTGGCTTATGTCTGAGGTCCTAGCCACCGCCTGCTCCTTTCCTTCTCAGAACCCAGACTGCAGACTCTGAACCTTCTCCTGCCTCAGATTACAGTTCTAGATCCACTGTGTCCACTGTCCTCCCACGCAGATCCTGGTCCTGTCATTAACCAGGGAAAAGCCCTCTATCTGCAGCCTCCCAGCTGCAGACTAATGAGCTTCCACAATCACCCAAACCTTGTGGCTGTGATTTGAGATTACCTTGCTCGGGGATCTCAAATGTGCAGTGTGCTCAGGGTCCTCCACAAGTTACTGGAAGCCCCAGTCCTGGCTCCAGCACTGTGAGAGGAGCCTGTCATCTGTGCATGGAGGGGGGTCCTGGAGCCACTAGCTCCTGGTGCTGGGAAGGGCAGGTCTGCTGCAGCTCTGGGAATGGGGTAGCATATTTCACAAAGCAGGGAGGAAGGCCTGCCTCCAGAAGATCTGGAAACTACACCCACTGCCACAGCTGGGGCCTTCATTTGGGCAGGGCAGTGTGAGGCCTGGCTAGGTGGCTTCTCACCTGGGTTCTGGGCAGAGCAAGCTCAGTTCAGTGTGTTCAGACCCATGTGTGGCTCACCAGAGCAGAGTATCAAGAGGTCTCAGTGGGTGACTTCTCCAAAGAAAGCCTGTTGTTTCCTCAAATTCAGGACTCCTGTATAGCAGGGCCTCCTGTGGAACACAGGGTGGTGATAGTGCTCTGTAGACCTTTGGGGACAATAGATCCCTGGACCTTCTGTAATGGCTACAGCCTCCATAAGGGCTGGGAGTCAGGGAAGGGCTGAGAGGGTGTGGCCAGCTCCATGCCCACACCCTGGCCTCTCCAGGTACATCCAAATGCTGAAGGACCACAGGCCCCGTGTGGTGTGGGACAGCCAGGCCGAGGAGCACTTCTTTGAATACAAGAAGTGAGTGAGTGGTGTGCATGGGCCCTGAGGGGAGGGCAAACATGAGGAGGGGGGAAGTGGGGGAGAGGGCTTGGATCCAAGTCCCTATTCTTAACTGCTGCCTGTGGGTAGAAGGAGTGTAGCCCCATGGCTAGGCCAAAGCAAGAAATGGACAATTCCCCTTGTTCTGCAGGAACCGTGGCGGGAGGCACCTGGTCTTCTATCCAACTCTGAAGGTAGGTGCTGTGCCCTGGCTGCTGGCCATGGTGTTGGGGTGGGGGTGGCCATGTTGGTCATGTGCACAGTGGCACAGTGATGCAGTGGGCATCACTCCCTCCCCACAATGACCTTCATACTCTACAGAGGTCCAGGCTGCATTGCCCAGTGGCTTTACGACAGTTCCCAGACATATTGGGGGGTGGGGAGACAGGAGTAGGTGCCCACACTTTTGTCTGTGCACATAGTCCCTACAGGTGCGGCTGGAGCTGGCCAGGGAGCTGGGCGTCGGGGTCTCCATCTGGGAGTTGGGCCAGGGCCTGGACTACTTCTACGACCTGCTCTAGACTGGGCAGCGGCCCCCACGTGGATATGGACTTTTCTAAGCCATGGAGTACCTGGTGAAATACAGACCTCTGTTCTGTTTGCTGTGACGTGTCTGCTGTGGTCCTCAGTGTGGAGGGGAGGGCCACATGTACAAGGCTCCTGTCCTGGCAGAAGTCCTGGGATAAGAAATGTAACCCCTTTCACCTGCCACTGCTGTCTGCTTTGGACAAGGCAGGGCCAGGACCCTCAGCCCTCACCCAACCAGGGCAGCCTGGCTTAGGTCTTAGGCCTCTCTGGCTGCTTCACATGACCTGTTGGAAGATCTGACTGATTGTAGATCTGCCCACACCTGGAGTCCAGGGCCAGGCAGGGACAGCCCCTCCCTGTGACCCCAGAGCCTGATAAGGACAACACTGAGGGCCCACATCGTCACACCATGACCACCTGGACTACCACAGGCCCAGTGAAACCTGCAACAGGTCCTCACATGTCCCCCCAGAGCCTGGCATGACCGAGGAGTGTGGTCATGTTGGAAATTGGGGCTCAGAGCCAGCCCCACTTCCATGAAACTCTGACTAGACCACAACCCAGTCTGTTCAGTGGCTACAGGGTAGACACAGCAAGGGGCAGGACCTACTTACTGGCTAGCAGCAGGATCTGTAGGCTGTGTCTGGAAAAGGCAGCATCACCAGTGAGTGATGGGGTGCAGCCCCCCAGGGGCTAGGGCTGGAGAGTCTGTCACCCCTTGGCTGTAGTGACAGGCTGAGCCGATGCTGGGCAATGTCTGGGAATCTTGAGGCACAGGGCCAAGGGATGGCCAACTCTTGTTACTCCCTCCCCTCAACCCCATCCATGTCCCTTCCTTCCTTGCCCCTACCTTGTCACATGTCCCTGAGCCCCTGCCTCTCCTCTCCCTGTCCTGGGCAGCCTAAATACAATGCTCCCCCATCCTGCAGGACGCTACCTTGAGAATTTCTGTCCCTCATTCTGAGATTCTGGGGCTCCTGGGGTAGGGATTTTATCTACCATCCCGAGAAGGGAATGGGGGAGGATTCTAAGGGGGCAGGTGTTTGTCTGGGGATGAGGCCTGGCCCAACTCCAAGTAAGGCTGGCTGGGGCCCTTCCACTCTCTGAGGCTGTTTTGGGGGTGGGTGGGAGGTCCCACCTAGCCATCAGCCTGGTCACTCACTCAGGTCAATATGGACCATGGGCAGGGAGCTTGGGGTGCCGAGTCAGGGGAGCTATAGGGCAAATCTGCTGTACCAGCTATAGCTTCACAACACCCACAGAGGCCCCAGGAGCTGTCCTGACCCTGCTGGCTCTGGGGACACAGACCTACAGATGTGAGGGGCGGAATAGGACCTGAGCATGAGGACCATTGTAAAGGGACAGCAGGGCAGCCTTGTGTCACCTGGTCATCTGGGAATAGTCATCAGTGTGCCCAGGTGCCATAAGTGTGTGCACAGCCACATGTGAGGTGGTGGCCAGGATGCTGGCTGGCACTCTGGGACCTCAGCACAGGGCTCAGTCCCACAATGGCTCTAAGCCTGAATCCCTCCAACCCGTACCCTGGTCTTAAAGCCCCAGGCCAGTGATGGGAACAGGGATATAGGTACCCCCAGTCCACTTCCCAGTACCAGAACCCACGTGCACACAGCAGGTGCTGACAACAGCAGAGGGAGACACCCATCCTGTGAGTGGATGGAGTGACCAGGCTGGTATGGGACAGAGGGCAGCATGGGTCAGAGAATGTCCCATGATCCCTGGGACCACTGAGAATGGAAGAAGACGGTGGGTGAGGACAACAAGGCCACACTGGGGTTCTGGGTTATTTTTTGTTTTTTTTGCAATATGGGAGATTGAACCTGAGCCTCGGGCTCTACCACTGACCTGCACCTCAGCCCCACGTTCTGGTTGTATGTCATGGAGCACAGAAGTACTGTCCAAGAGCTGACAGGACTGGTGAACAGGATGGAGGTCAGTCAGTGTGAGGGTCAAGGGCACCATCGGGGTCCACAGTGTTAATCAGGAGTCATTGGGTGGGAGGATCTAGATAGCCAGGTAGTGACTGAGCATTGTATGTGGGGAGCTGCTCCTTGGTGTGGGATGAGAGCAGGGAGAGGGTCCTGGGGTTAGATCCTAGGGACACCTGCACGTGAGCAAGGCCATTCTGGGAACTGAGCAAGCTCAGAGGACTGAGCCCATGTGCGGAACGAGGGTCACCCTCACATCCACTCTTACTTCCTTCTCAGTGGTTTGCCATCTGCATGACAGTGGCTTTGGTGATTAGGTGTGTGTCTATAGTGGCTAACTAAATGTTGGATCACAGAATCTCTGGGGTTCTGTGGCTTTTACTGGAGGGAGGATAGTGTGACAAGGAATTGAGCTCACAGCCGAGGCATGGGGCAGGGGAGGAGCGTTAGCCCCACAGATGGTCTCGTCAAGTTCTGTTCTCCAGCCTTGGTCAGTGCATGGCACAGTTGAGGTGGGCATCACCTACGATGACAACCCCTGGTGGGTTGTGTCCCAGAGTAACAGGGCAGAACCCCAGACAGCAGCACAGAAAGGCTGGAAATTGAGGTTGTGGATATAGCTTTGGGAATTAGATGCCCTGTAGCTACTGAGGATCCCAAAAGGAGCTCACCCAATCTGAACCCCCAAACCATCTTCCCTGTGGCAGGTGGTCCCCACCCATGGCCCCTCCTCACCCCCCAGTTACAAGGATGGTTTGATGCATTTTAACCATATCTCTAATTCTGTGCTCTTGTGCTTCTGGTACCCCCTTAGATCTGCAAAATCAGTGCAGACTAGGAGTTAAACAGAGGTTCGAGGACAAAAGAAGAATAGGATGGAGAAGTCAGAGCTGAGCCTGCCTGGCCTCAGGAAGACGCTCTGAGAGAAGCAGTACAGGGTGGTGGGAGACCATCCCTGACACACCCCCCACAGATAGGGATGTTCCCGTCCTCCTGGCTAATTTAATCAGCTTCCTCAGAGTTGGGAGGCTGTGACTGTCCAGCTTCCATGCATCCAGAAAGACACAAGTGCTGCTCACGCACTTTTATTAATATGCACCTGGAGCCACAGCCCCGCCATGGAATGTGGATGATGGGGCCTGGCCCTGCCTGGAGCACCAGGACTTGTGGGAGCCTCAGGGAGGCTGACTGCCCCTTCCCCCAGAGTCCCTGGGAGGTTGGGGACCATTGCTTGGCAATCCCCACCCAACGTGAACACTGTTCCGGAGGACACATGAATATAAAAAGAATCAAAGCCCCTCCTGCCCCCAGCCTCAGACACTTCAGCCACCCCCTCCTCTGTGGTCTGGAGACCCTGCAGCCACCCAAGCCGAGGCCTTCCAGGGCCGGGATCCTGAGGGCTCTGGGCACTGGCTCTGCCCTGTGCCCAGCAGAGCACCAAGTCCTGTGGTGGGAGAGGCAGGTTTGGATGCAGTCATCTCCCTTGTGGGTGGTGTCCTTTGGCAGAGAAGCGGGGCCAGCTGGTGGCCTATGCACAGTAGGTGTCTGCCTTTACCACCTGGCAGTACATGGTCATGGCGAAGGTCAGGCCCAAAATCTGTGGGGAGAGTGGGTGCTAGGCAAGGTTGTTCAGGGACCCACAGGCCTCTCTGCCCATGGGCTCAGATCAGCCAGAGGGGTCCTGGCCCTCAGCAGGTACTCTGACTAGCCTGGGCTTCCAGGATAGCCTGGTGCTCCCCTCACCCCACAATTCAGGCCCACTGCACAGTGCCACCTATGAGCTTCTCGGGGTAGGACCTATCGCCACAGGCACACGGGCCCCCAGGCTTCGTGTGGAGTTTGGCCATCTGGGTTCCTCACCAGTCACAGGCCTGTTCTGTACTTTTAGATCACATGCCCTCACCCACATGTCCTAAGGCACTGCAGGACCCAACTGCCCTTCTGGGCCCACTTCTCCTAGCTGCAGCCACCTCTGGTTATGGCTGCATTCCAGGTGGTCTGGGGCTACCCTGGTGGCAGGTGTGACCCGCTCCGCCTGGAGCTTCACCAGTACTAACGCTCGGGATTCTATGAGAGCTGTGAGGGAAGAGGGGGTCTGTGGGCACCCAGGCCTAGACTGCCACCCTCATTCTGTGCCAGGCCATGCTGTGACCACCAACCAGCATGACTGTCTGTCTGAGTCTCCCCACCAGGCCCAGGGACCGCAGGACCATTCTAGCTTAGCCCACCAGGACACCGGGCTCCACGCCAGGAGCACTAGGCAGTGTCTGGTCTGACAGCCAAAGGTCTTGTCACTTCCCTGCATGGGTCTTTCCTGACCATGTACAGTGAACCTCCCTCTGTCTAGGACCCTGGATCTTAAAATTCCTATTAACCCTGGCCCACCCCAGCATGGTTCCCTGGAAGCCCCCAAGCCCTGCCCTGCACACCTGCACCAATGCTGTGCACAGTCCAAAGATGCCCACGGCCAGCAGGTTCTCCTGGAGCCAGGCCTTCACGGTCTCATAGCAGGGCTACAGGAGACTAGGATTAGCCAGGGTCTTCTAGCCCACCCGGACCCACCCTGCAGGCCTCAGGAGGTGAGGTTCACGCTCACCGCCTTCCACCAGGTGCCTGGCGCATGCAGCCCACAGCTGTCGCTGAACTCCAGACAGCAAGAGTCAGGCACACGAGTAGTGTTGTACACCTCAAACCAATCGGTGTAATTGGAGACTCCACAGCAGCGGAACTGGACAGAGAAAAGGGCTAGGCTGGAGATGGAGAGGGGACCCCCCCTCCCCAGCTGCCTCTGCAGCCTGCCCCCTGCCCCGCCCACACCAGATCCTCACATCTGTCTGGATGATGCTCCAGGCGTTGGTGAGGCCCACGTTGCCCTCAGTACCATACAGATGGAGTCCCTTCTTCAGGTCTTGCTGGGCATACCTGTCAATCTGCGGGAACAACGGGTCAACAAGGCTGCAGTGGGTGTCTCCACCCTCTCCCCACCCCAGAACAGGCACCCCCCTTATCCAGCCCCTTCCTGCTTCCTGGGGTCACTTGCTGCCCCAACAGCACACAGAGGCCATAGCCCCAGTTTCGCATCCTCCCAGAAGCCCCGGAGGGATCTGGTGCGGGCCTTGGCCCTCTCATCTCCCTGGTCGTCCCCCCCAGGTTGGGGAAGGCACTGACTAAACAGTTACATCCGTCCACTTAGTACAAGAGGCATGTCTGTGCTCTGCACTGAGGGCCTGGTCTGTGTTCCAGTAAAGGAACAAGAGCCCTAGGGAAGGGGCTGACTGCAGGGCTGGACAGGGAGCAGTCAGGACATGCTCTGCAGAGAAGACCCCTGATGGGGGAATCAAAGGGACACAGAAGCCAGGAATCCCACACCGGGTTTCAACCCAAGATGTCAAAGCATCAGTGCGCCTGTCCTGCTAGACACAGGGGCAAACATGAATGGGAGTGGGAGACTTGAGGACAGGGTGGGCTGAGAGATGCCTGGGACATGGCATACTCTGGGCAGGGTACTGTCCAGCCACCCAGAGCCACAAAGCAGCCATTGTCTTTCCCTCCCCCAACCCCCAAAAAGAAAAAGAAAAACAGGTCTCCAGTGGCTGTGGGTGAATTCAGACTACTGTCACTGGTCCCAGGGGGGCCACTGTCCATTTGCAGTGTAGCTGCCCACAGCCCAGGCTCCTGCAGGCTGTGGCAACCATACCTTGTCAGTGTAGGCAAAGAAAAGCACAGCGATGGTGGCTTCCAACAGGAGCACCAGCAACAGCAGCACGAAGAACTGTGTGAGGACAGGACGGGCCTCAGAGAGGGCCCTGAAAGCTCAGGGCCAGGCCTCATGGACACTGCATGCTGCCAGGAGACCTGGCCAGGCCCAGCTCCGAGAGATCCCCCCAGTGCCACCCCATCACCTCAGAATCCCAGCCTGAGTGCCAGCCCTGCTGCCTGGGCTCCCCCCCTCCACCTCCACCCTCTGGCTGACTCAGACCTCCCCAGGTGGGTTCAGGTCCCCATTCCCCAGGCTCCCAGCCCGTAACCTCCACTTGGGACATATGAAATGAATCCCAAACATCGCCTGTCCAAAGGCCTCTGAGCATCAACTCCCCAGCTAAGGGTCAGCTCCCCCAGGGCTTGGAGGCCTGAACAAGACCCTACTCAGTTTGGGGCTCCTCAAAGGAGCCACCTGAAGCCTCTGAACTTGAAGCTGTGCTGCCTGAGGCCCATGCCAGGCACATGAGCTTGTAATCAGCCTCACTATGATTGACATTTCCAAGGCTAAGTTGGATATTGTGAGGATCTCCACAGAGGGTTCTGGGGGGCCCAGAGGCAGGCCCAGGAAGAGGGCCCATGGCAGGAGTAGGCAGGGACGAGCCTCAGACAGAGCAGCCCAGGAAAGGCTGCCCCGTGTGTAGGAGGATATGCCTGTGCTTGCTGTTCTTGTCCTGTCAAGGGAGGTCCTCACCAAGCTCCACTGTGCTCCTTTTTTGGAAAGTGCTGAAGATCAAACCCAGGGGCTTGTGCATGCCAGGCAAGAAGGCTTTCACTAACCTACATCCTATCCCCAGCCTTTTTTTTTTTTTCTTTTTAATTTTTATTTTGATACAAGTTCTCACTATGTAGCCCCAGGTTGGCCTCAAACTCACAATCCTCCTGTCTCTACCTCCTAAGTGGCTGGAATTACAGGTGTGTACCACCACACCCAGCTCTGAACCCCTAGCCCCAGCTTGACCTGGAAGATCCCAAAAGACCTCAGGTGCTACACAGGTCCTAAGGCTCCTTTACCCCAGCCATCCTCCCATCCATCCCTGGAGGATAGGCCCCAGAGGTGGCTACAGAGCCACACGAGGCGAGGCGTACACACTCACAGTGAGCAGCAGGCACTTGTTCTCCTTGAGGGCCCCAATGCAGCCCACGAAGCCGATGGCCATGACAAAGGTGCCGGTGACGATGAGCAGGTTGGCAGCCGACAAGGACGGGAAGGAGGATGACAGCGTGGCAAAGTTTCCCTGTGTGGCAGCCAACCAGATGCCAACACCCAGGACGCCGCAGCCACCCAGCTGGGACCACAGCACAGGTCGGGAGAGAGGAACAGGTGAGGCACCCGGCAGGGCTTCAGGACTCTTGCCTCAGGGCCCTGCCCACAAGCCAGGGTCCTGCCTAATCCCTGCAACAGCCCTCAGCAGCCCCGAGCCCACAAAGGGCCAGGCACCCCTTCTCACACCCACCCCGACTCCCATGTGACAGTGACTGGACGTCTGCCGGACTGCTGCAGAAGGCTCCTGCAGGAAGCATGCCACCACCATCACCCTCTTCAGTCTGGAGCAGAGGGACTGATCTCCAGCTTCTGGGACCCAGCCTGCAGCCTTCCATGCTGCTCTCCAAGTTGGCCCCAAACTGGAGCCCATGCCCCAGAGGCCAGGGGCTGGGTCCACCCCCTCATGACCACCTCATGCCTCAGAGGGCCAGCTGCAGGATACCTACTGCTCTCATTATGTGTGTGTGGCACTGGAGTTTGAATTCAGGGCCTTGTGCTCGCAAGGTATGCGCTCTACCGCTCGAGCCGTGACTCCAGCCCCCAGGATTCCAGGCGGCCATACGGCCTCCTTGTCCTGGGGCTCGGGTGTCCCCATCACTCTGAACAGGGGAAGCCCTGCATCCTTGTGCTGCCGTTCATAATTATGACTCATCACAGCCTCGTCACGGCTCAAGAGTAGAATGGCGCTCATGCCTGCCCCTCCCCAGGCCTCCTGGAGTTCTGCATCAGCTTCCTCATTGCTCATTATTGCAAAAAAAAAAATTAAAATGAGAGGAAGCAGGGGTGCAAAGCCTGGTGGTAGAGCAAGACACAGGGATGGGGCACTCGAGTGGGCGAGGCCTGATAGGCCCGGCATGGTGACAGAGACACCCAATCTCAAGGCAAAGGGCTGGCCGGTGGGGAACTGCTGTCTTAGGCTGTGGCCCGTTTTAGGCAGAAAGGAAACAGGACACATTCCAGGACTAGGAGGAAGGCAGAGGTGGCACCAATAGCTGATGGGCTCTGGGAAAGAGGTCAGGCAGTCCTAGGGTCCCCGCCCCCACACAGGACTGGACAAGACACAGCAGTGAGATTGACAAAGCCACCACTGGAGTGAAGCCTCTCTAAGCACCCACCCATGCGTTCCAGAGCAGACCCTGACCCCAGATACCAGCGGGCTCCAAAGGGGCGCAGCATCCACCTAGGGCCAGCATGAGCCTATCACCCTACGAAACCCTCCTCACGCCCAGTGACCAAAGAAACTGGGTCAGAGAGATGAACCGCTGAGCCTGCAGCCCCCGTGTCTCCCACCTGCCACAGTAGCCGTGCTGCAGACCAGGCCAGGGAACACCCCCCCTTTGCATGCTGAACCCTCCCCGACCTGTGCATCAGCCCCGGCAGTGGGGTGGGGGCGGGGGTGGTGGCCACCCTATTCTTGTGGTGGGCTATGAACACACACCCTGCACTCCACACATTAGGCCAGGCTGCCAGGAGACTGCAGCAAGGCGGGGACAAAGCTCCCAGCCCAAGGTGGACGCAGCCACAGGCTGCCAGGGGTGTAGACCCTCACTAGTGCTGCTTTTGGCCCCTCAGAGCCAAACCCCAACTCTTGCTGGTCACCTACAACTCCCTACCCTTGCCCAGCCCATCCAGGGTGAGTGCCCGTGGTCCTGTGTTCTGTGCTTCCCACCAAAAGTCAGGACTTCTGCCTGTTCGGAAATAAAATGCTTTTTGAATGCTGGGGGCTCCGGGCTCACCCCAGGGAACTCTGCTAAGCCCAGAGACATACTCAGACTGGTTGGGACCCTCTCCAGCGCTGGGCAGGGGCTGCAGCTCCCAACCGGGCACAGGGAAAGAAGCTAGGAGGAACTGGATGAGCCAGGTGCAGGAGAGGCAATGGTTCCTGTGCTTTAGGGGCCAGGTTTAGGGGTCCCTGATGGACCCCCATGGTTCCAGCTGGTTACCGGAGGGGCAGCCGTGGAGCTGGCAGGAGGCTCCTGAGCAAACCCAATCCAAGGTACAGGGCCAGGAAAGGCTGCCCAGATGATAGGCCCTGGATCCTGAGGAGGGGCTTCATCAGGGGAGGCGTGCATGTGCCTGGGGTGGCACAGATGTAGGTGAAGTGCTAATCAGAGGGTCTGTCCTCAAAGCCTCTGGGGGAGGGGGCAGGTATTAGCCAATGCTACAGAGATGCCCCTTTATGGTGGGACCAAGCCCTGCCATGAGATAGAGGCGGGGCTAAGCAGCCAGCAGCTGCTGGGGACAGTGCTGTCCATGGTGCTGACCAGGTAAGGCAGCTGGGGGGTGGGGGGGGGCTGGGACTGGCACCCCCAACTCAGCATTTGGGAAGACAGCACTCTAACATCAGGGAACACACCTGGCCTAGCCAGGTGATGGCTTACCCAGCCATGGGCACAGCAGCATCACGCTATGAACACTCCAGGCTATTGGGAGCCAGGGGGGGCTTTCTCAGGGCCTCTCAGAGCCACGGCACACAGGTCCCTCAACCTGCCCCTGGGCTCTCCCCATGGCCTCTGACGGTTCCCAGACCTCATGGGGTCTTCCAGGATCTTTGTGCAACATGGGGTGTGAAGAGCCCACGGGCACCCACATGCACACTTCTGTCTGGCATTATCTCTGCATAACGGCTCAGCTGCTGCCCTAGGACTGGGTCAGAACCACCAGGATCAGGAAGGGTACAGCTTTCCCCCTCCACTTGCTGTGTCTGCCCCTAGAGGGGGATGGAAAGTCAGAGGGAAGCAAGGGGCCCCAGGAGATGCCGACCCCCAGGGCTGACCCCAGGCCCGGAGCAGCCCTGGTCCCCAGTGGGTCACACATAGAGGGTCACACCTCAGAGCTGAGCACTCAGGCAGACACTGGCAGGTCTCTGAGCAGAGGATGGTGCTGGTGCAAAGATGTCATGGAAGGCCCAAACTGCCTGGGCTGTCTGCCTCCCAAGGACAGCAGACAACTCATGTCAGCAGGAAAGTGAGCCACTGGAGTGGCCCCGGCCCCATGGGACTCCGAAGGGCACAAGGAGGGCACTGCTACGCAAAGCAGCTGGTGCCATGGTGGGGAGCAGGTGCCCCAGTCGAGAGAGCCAGGAGGGGGACAGTCCCCGACACAGGCCTGGGTGGGGTGGGATCCTACAGCCCTAGCCCAGATGGTAATGAATTTCCTTCATTAACACTGCACAAGATATCCTCCCCTCCACCCATAGATGACAGGAAAAAGACACCCACTCTCTGTCACCCAGATGGTCTGTCACCCGCAGTGGGACACAGACAACACCAGCCCACACCTCAGATGCTCCTCACTGCCACACAGCAGCATCATGCACAGTTACACACATGCCACCATGCCCTATGACCCACTGTCCCCAGGGAGCTGCCGTCCTGCAGACAGCCTCAGCAACAAACACCAGGCTCGTGGGTGCACTGATGAAAGGCCCACACGTGGTGAGTAAAATTACCGCACCTGTAATTTCGAAAATGCTTCTGCACACGCAGCTTTTAAAACATTTTGGCAGGAAAATTATAGCCTCGAGGTGCAAGAGAAAACGGGCCCATTAGACTCAGACAGATTCTAAAGGCAGGACTTGTGGGCTGAGTCCCTAGGAAGCCTGGAGCGCTACCTCTCTCCTAGGCCAAATGTGGGGGGGATGGAACCCCACCCAACTCTGCAGTACTCCCCCAGCACCTGAGTACCACTCCCAGACACAGACCACCCACCACTGATGGTTCCCTTCTCCCAGGCCTTGCAGAAGCCCAGGCTAGGGGCAGAGTCCACCCCCAACAACCTGGAAAAGAGCAGGGGTCCAGGGGGTAGCAACCAACGCGCCACCAACAAGAGGGGCCTCCCACACCCACGTTCCCCATTCTGGCCTGCTGGCTGATCTCCATCTAGCACACTTGGCCCCAAGAACAGCCCGCCTCAGCCATCTCCTCACCTGATCGTCAACTGAGACCAGATGCTCTGCTGAGGACCGATGCCCATGACAGCCCCAAGAGGCTCCCATGGTCACCCAAGCAGCACTTCAACCTCCTGCCTCTTCAGCCGTCTACTAGTGGCTTGGCCAGAGGCTGTGCCTGGCACCCATCAAATGTGCCCCTCTAGGCCCATGGGGTGGGCAGCCAGCCTCTGCCCACTGCCTCTCTGGCCACACAGCTCAGTGTGGCAGATGGCAGGGCAGCTGGCTGTGTCCTTGGAACAGGGTGGAGGGCTGGGTCCCTGCAGGGGCCGAGGCTGTATCTAGAGCCTCTCTCTCGCCAGGTTGGCAAAACATTCCATCTTGGCTGGGATGTTCGTTATCCAGGTGAAGCGAGTTTTTCCACTTAAAACTGAATGTAATTCGTTCTCTCCCTAGGCTTTCCCACCCAGGACAGGACAACACCAGAACTGCTTGGAGCCCACAGATAAGCAGCCATCCCCACCAAAGCCAGGTCATTACAGGAAACAAAGTGAGGGCTCTCTGAGTGTCCTTGCTCTACCTGGGAGCTGGACACAGAGACCTTTGCCCTTCTCAGACCCCTCCTCCTACAGGCTCAGGGTGCCCTGCCCAGGGGCCAGCAACAGGCCATTGTCCATCAGATATCAGTTCATCAAAGGCAAAGAAAAACACGGCTCAAATTGTAAAGCACCTGCCTAGCAAGTGTAAGACTCTTGATTCAAACCCTAGAATCACCAAAAAAGAAAAAGAAAAAGAAGAACCCAGCAATGCCTGTGCCCGGCACCTTGCCACCAGCTTAGAGCAGAGGCCCTGGAACTGGCAAGACCTTCTTTCCAGGAACAACTGAGAGCAGGTGCTGAGGCTGCCGCAGTGGACAGTAGCAGCGCCACAGTGGCCCCAATCCCCTCCCAGCTGGGGGACAGGCAGAGCTTGGGCCCTGGACCAATGAAATCTAACCTCGTTCTTCGTCCAGCCTGGGGCCTCTGTCACCTGGGCGGGCTATTCCATGTGGAAGACATCCTCCACACCCCGGTTCACCCCCACGCCAAGCTGGTGTTCAGGATCCTACACACAGTTTATGGATTACCCTGCACAGCCCATGTGGCACAGATGGAGAAAATGAGCCCCGCCTCAGAAAAGCAGAACTTGCCCAGGTCCCACAGTGTCTGAGCAGCAGGAAATAGGCTGGCAAGCATGGCTTTGAACCCCATTCTGGCCAACCACACAGGACCTGACCACACTGCGCAGGGAGCTGCTAGAGGCTTTCTCTGACCCTGGCACTGGGCTGGGAAGGGGTGGGGGAGCAGCGCAGGAAGGGCCTCAGCCTGGCCAAGACCTTGTCTGGGAGAAGCCAGCTGCATGGCTGAGGCCTGACGGTGGGTGGACAGCCCTTGCATGGCCACAGTGGAGCCATGCAAACATCCCCACTTTGCTGAGGAGCTCGGCCCTCGAGCCAGACGCCCTCATGCTAGAGCAACTGCCCACGGGGGTAGACGGCCCAAGCCCAGGGCAGGGGAGAACAGAAGCAGGAAGAGCCAGGCTTCACTGACTTCCCTCCACCCTGGGGATCTTGACTTGCATTATGGAAAGAGCTTTGCTGGCAGAAGCCCAGCTGACAATGTAGCCACTATGGCCTGACATAGGGGGGTCCCAAGGGCTGCTAAGTCTCCCACTCCCTCACTTACTGATGGCTGACTGCCCAGTCCACTTCCACCTTGTTTACCTCTCTCCCAGGAGACACTCCCAGCCCTAACCTGCCACCCCCCATGCACACCTCAAAAGGCCAAGCAACTATGCCCTGGGCCCTAGCACAGATCTAGGGGTCAGTGCTGCTCTGAACTCTGGCTCCGTGGTTACTCCAGTTGGAAGACAGAGGCAGGACACAGGGCAGGGAGACAGATCAGGAAGCGACCAGGTTTTCTGGTCTCCCAGTGTGAATGTGCTACAGGGGGGCTGGTACCCTCATACAGCAAAGGAGTCAGGATCTCAGCTAAGGGGCATTCTGGCTCCTGCCCCTCCCACACACACAGCCTGTCACCAGCAGGAAGGGGACTTAGTTCACAACAGCCCAGGGACAAGGTAAGGTGGACATCACACCCACTGGCCCAGATGGGTTCTACCAAGCCCAGCACAGACATCTCCACACAAAAAGCCCCTGTCATTTCCCAGCACACCCCAGGGAGACTGGGCAGGGCAGGCCCTGGTTCTGACCCACTGAGCACCAGGCTCGGAGAGGAGCCATGAAGGGTGTTGAAGCCAGTAGCAGGGGCTGTGGTTTCCAAGGCTGAAGATATAATTGGGTAATAAAAAAGCAATTGGGTTTTCCAACCCAGGAGGGGTCCCTGGGGGCTCCTGATTTGTTCTTTCCTCAGTGGAGGACATCATCTAGGGGTCAGTGGAGCATGCCTGCTCTGTAGTGGGTAGTGAGGCCTCTCTGTGGGGAGCAGAGGACAGGCAGCTCACCTGGACTCCCCGTGGGAGTGGGTTGCTCTCGAGCAGTCAGAACCCCGCCCCCCCGCCAAGATCCCCTCTCTTTCTCCCTGCAGGTAGGTGTCCAGGTCAGGGAAGATAGCAGTCAGCAGAGGAGCAGGGCTTGCAGCCTCCCAGGATCAAACATCAATATCCGCCCATATCCCATACCCCTGCCCCCCAACTGTTCTGCCCACCACCATCACAGCAACCTACAGCTGTCACGTCAGGTCACACTCTCACCAGCAGCCCACATCCACCTGTCACACTGTTACCTGCAGCATCTGGACCTTCTCCACCTGTCACACTGTCACCTACAGCCATCCCCTTCCCCACTGTCACAATGCCTGGGACATGGTGACCCTGTCAACCACTAGCCACTACCCACACTGGTGCCATGGAAAGGCATTCACTTTCTCCTAAGTGCCAGCCACAGCTCCAGCCCACACCCACCCCTTCTACCTGTCTCCCTGGATGCAGTGTGCTCGAGGGCCTGTGCCCACCCCTCCAGGGGGCTCTCGCAGAAAACAAACCCTTGGGGTGAAGCCTTCTACCCGTGGACACCTGGGGCAGCATGCTTCTTGGGTCACTTCCCACAGGTAACTCAAACCGGCTGACCCTCCCAGTGACCCCCCAGCCCCTGCTCCAAGCCAGAGCCAGAAGGATAAGGAGGGCAGGAATGTGGAGACCAGCTTTCTGTGCATTTGGCCTGCACAGGACCACATGCAAATGAGCAGTATGGCTGAAGTGCAGCGCACAGCCAAGCCCCACACTCCCAGACAGAACCCTCTTACTATCAGTCATGGAAAAAGAGTTGGCTCAGGAATTAAGGATAGAGGCTGGAATGACCTTGGGCATCACTACCAAGCCTTCCCCAGCCCAGGTTAAGCCTCAGGCTCTGCCCAGGTGTCACCCCTCCTTACAGGCTGCAGGCCTACCCAAGCTTGGTCCAAGGCAGGTAGGTGTGAAGCCTGCCCCAGCCCAGCCCAGCCCACCTACTCAGACTATCCCAGGGTGCAGTGTGGTGCAAACTCTGCCCTCACATCTATGCTAGAGGGGGCCACCCTCTGCCCCACTAAACCAAGTTCCTCTCTGGACACCACTTCTCTACTCCTGAGCAATCCACAGAAAAGTTAGAGAGGCTCTTGTGAGGGAGGCGGGAACCCAGCTGCCACCCAAGCTCATTGGGCCCTCCCCAATCCGGTGTCCAGGGAATGACACGTCGCTGGGCCTGAGCGCACGGACTGTGTACACACCCGATGGCGCCCGGGGCGGGGGGTGGAGGGGGGGACCAAGTGAGCCCGGCCGGCTGCTCCCCACCGCAACCCCGGGGTAAGCTGAGACCTGGGCCTGGGGGTTGGGCAGCTCAGAGGGGCGGGGCGGGCAGGGGGCGAGGCAAGGACACAGGCTGCGGAGGCACAGCCGCTCAGCGCCGTGCTGGTCAGGATCGGAACCCGAGCCCGGGAGAGGCGCAGTGCACAGGACTTGCCCGGTCCGGTGCGCACGTGCAGGCACATCTTGTCTCTGCAGAAGAGGGGCAGCTCGGGGCACCCGCCCGCCCGGACAGCAGAGGTACAGGAACAGCCCAGTAGCGGAAAGCCTCCGCCGCCGGTCCAGCCCAGCCCCCGGTGACCCCCACCCCGGCCTCCCCAGGCCCTGGGCCCGGCCGGAGGGCCCCGCACTCACCCAGAAGAGCAGGTTGAAGGCGAACATGAGGTACTTGACGCCCTGGAGGCAGCCGCGCGCCATGCTGCAGCGCTTCAGCTCTAGGAGGAAGATGAAGGACAGGTCCAGGTAGAACACCACGTACTTGTTGCCCTTGGGCGACGTGTAGCGCGCCTGGGCCGCCTTGGGGCCGGGGTTCGCGTGCAGGCCGAAGAAGGCGCCGCTGCTTGCGTCCCCGGCGTCCCCGCGCCCGTACTGGCTGCTGCAGCGCCGGAAGGGGCCGCCGCGCGCGAAGCCCGGCTCCTTGCCCTCTGGCGATGGGCTGCGCCGGTACGTGGACTCGTCAGTGCTTGAGCGGCGCATCGCGCTGGGCAGGCCGGGCCCGCGCCACCCGGCGCGCCCGCCGTCAGCGGCCCGCTCCCGCCACCCCGGGACGCCCCATCCCCACCCCGCCCGCGGGCTCCGGCCCCGCGGTGGCACCGGGCGCGCGGCTCCGCTCGGACCCCGCCGCCACCAGACACCTGCCCACCTCCCACCCCCGCCCCCGCTGCGCCCCACCCCCCGCGCGCCCGGCCAATCCGGTGCGGCCCCGCCCCGCACGGACCCCGCCCCGCCGACCAATCGCAGCGACCCTGGACCCCCGCCCTCTGCACCCACGCTGGGCCTGGGAGGAAGATGCCAGCAAAGGGCAAGGGGAGTGTTTAAGGGGACTGGGGCTGAGCCCCAGTCTGCTCTCGGCGCCAAATCCACACTCCCGACCCAGCCCCCCAGCGGGCCCGCCCCGCTTCGGATAGCAGACCACCGATCTAGCGAAGGATTGCAAAGCACCGTGCACATAAGGGCTGACCCAGTTGGCAACTTGGAGCAGCTCGGGCTTTAGGCGCCTTGGGGAGCCTGTGGTGCCCGATGAGGTTACGTGCAAAACAGAGAATTTGGAGAAGTGAACTCAAAGTACCCCAGGCAACCCCGCACAAGCTCAGGGTGCTCACTGGGCCCGCTCAGCCCCTGGCTGACCAGCTTCCAGCGCAGTCACACAGCCCCAAGATGTTTTGAGGGTCTGCTGGCACAATCTTGAAATTCTCTTAACTTCTGAACAGGGGACTCTGAATTTCATTTTCCACCAGTCCAGGCAGAGTTGAGCCTACAGCAAGAGACCCCACTTCCTTCCAAACACAGGTAGAGGACCAGTGCTCCTTCCATTCACGGGTGTGCATAGATACACACTAGCTGTCACATGCCCACAATCAAAGATGGGGAGCAAATGTGATCCTGGCTGGCCCTTTACACTTCATGTCTGTGAAGCCCCAGTCCTACCAAAGAGTGCAGATCAGAAGGGCCCCATGAAGCCGGTGCCCATAGCTCACAACTGTAATCCCAGCTACTCAGGAGGCAGAGATCAGGAGGATGGCGGTTCGAAGCCAGCCCAGGCAAACAGTTCATGAGACCCAATCTCAAAAAACCCTTCACAAAAATAGGGCTGGTAGAGAGGCTCAAAGTGAAAGCCTTGAGTTCAAGCCCCAGTACTGCAAAAGAAAAAAAAAAAAAAAGATACCCCCAGGATGTGGTCAAGATTCCCTGCATCTTTCATGATAAAAGCTCTAAGAAAACTAGGAATAGAAGGAAAGTTCCTCAACATTATAAAAGCTATATATGACAAACCTACAGCCAGCATGATACTTAACGGAGAAAAACTGAAACCATTCCCTCTAAAATCAGGAACCAGACAAGGATGCCCACTATCTCCACTCCTATTCAACATAGTACTGGAATTCCTAGCCAGAGCAATTAGGCAAGAAGAAGGAATAAAAGGAATACAAATAGGTAAACTGTCAAAATATCCCTATTTGCAGACGATATGATCCTATACCTTAAAGACCCAAAAAACTCTACTCAGAAGCTTCTAGACATCATCAATAGCTATAGCAAGGTAGCAGGATATAAAATCAACATAGAAAAATCATTAGCATTTCTATACACTAATATGAACAAACTGAAAAAGAATGTATGAAAACAATTGCATTTACAATAGCCTCAAAAAAAATCAAATACCTAGGTGTAAACCTAACAAAAGATGTGAATGACCTCTACAAGGAAACCTATACACTTCTGAAGAAAGAGATTGAGGAAGACTATAGAAAGTGGAGAGATCTCCCATGCTCATGGATTGGTAGAATCAACATAGTAAAAATGTCAATACTCCCAAAAGTAATCTACATGTTTAATGCAATTCCCATCAAAATTCCAATAACATTCATTAAAGAGATCGAAAAATCTACTGTTAAATTTATATGGAAACACAAGAGGCCACGAATAGCCAAGGCAATACTCAGTCAAAAGAACAATGCAGGAGGTATCACAATACCTGACTTCAAACTATATTACAAAGCAATAACAATAAAAACAGCATGGTACTGGCACAAAAACAGACATGAAGACCAGTGGAACAGAATAGAGGACCCAGATATGAAGCCACACAACTATAACCAACTTATCTTTGACAAAGGAGCTAAAAATATACGATGGAAAAATAGCAGCCTCTTCAACAAAAACTGCTGGGAAAACTGGTTAGCAGTCTGCAAAAAACTGAAACTAGATCCATGTATATCACCCTATACCAATATTAACTCAAAATGGATCAAGGATCTTAATATCAGACCCCAAACTCTAAAGTTGATACAGGAAAGAGTAGGAAATACTCTGGAGTTAGTAGGTATAGGTAAGAACTTTCTCAATGAAACCCCAGCAGCACAGCAACTAAGAGATAGCATAGATAAATGGGACCTCATAAAACTAAAAAGCTTCTGTTCATCAAAAGAAATGGTCTCTAAACTGAAGAGAACACCCACAGAGTGGGAGAAAATATTTGCCAACTATACATCAGACAAAGGACTGATAACCAGAATATACAGGGAACTTAAAAAACTAAATTCTCCCAAAACTAATGAACCAATAAAGAAATGGGCAAGTGAACTAAACAGAACTTTCTCAAAAGAAGAAATTCAAATGGCCAAAAAACACATGAAAAAATGCTCACCATCTCTAGCAATAAAGGAAATGCAAATTAAAACCACACTAAGATTCCACCTCACCCCTGTTAGAATAGCCATCATCAGCAACACCACCAACAACAGGTGTTGGCGAGGATGCGGGGAAAAAGGAACCCTCTTACACTGTTGGTGGGAATGTAGACTAGTACAACCACTCTGGAAAAAAATTTGGAGGCTACTTAAAAAGCAGGACATCGATCTACCATTTGATCCAGCAATACCACTCTTGGGGATATACCCAAAAGACTGTGACACAGGTGACTCCAGAGGCACCTGCACACCCATGTTTATTGCGGCACTATTCACAATAGCCAAGTTATGGAAACAGCCAAGATGCCCCAGCACTGACGAATGGATTAAGAAAATGTGGTATCTATACACAATGGAATTTTATGCAGCCACGAAGAAGAACGAAATGTTATCATTCGCTGGTAAATGGATGGAATTGGAGAACATCATTCTGAGTGAGGTTAGCCTGGCCCAAAAGACCAAAAATCGTATGTTCTCCCTCATATGAGGACATTAGCTCAAGGGCAAACACAACAAGGGGATTGGACTATGAGCACATGATAAAAGCGAGAGCACACAAGGGAGGGGTGAGGATAGGTAAGACACCTAAAAAACTAGCTAGCATTTGTTGCCCTTAACACAGAGAAACTAAAGCAGATACCTTAAAGCAACTGAGGCCAATAGGAAAAGGGGGGACCAGGAACTAGAGAAAAGGTGAGATCAAAAAGAATTAACCTAGAAGGTAACACCCACGCACAGGAAATCAATGTGAGTCAATGCCCTGTATAGCTATCCTTATCTCAACCAGCAAAACCCCTTGTTCCTTCCTATTATTGCTTATACTCTCTCTACAACAAAATTAGAAATAAGGGCAAAATAGTTTCTGCTGGGTATTGAGGGGGGGAGAGGGAAGGGAGGAGGGGAGTGGGTGGTAATGGAGGGGGTGGGGGCAGGGGGGAGAAATGAACCAAGCTTTGTATGCACATATGAATAATAAAGAAAAGTAAAAAAAAAAAAAAGATTCCCTGCATCTGACCTGCACCCAGAGGGCACAGAGGACACAGAGGAGGGTCAGCGCCTGGGGAGGGGACAGAGGCAGCTGTGGATGGACGTGTCCTGCACCCCAAGCTCCAGAATGTGCCCAAGGCCTTTCCCTATTACCATGGTGGTCACGATGCTGGTTTCTACCCCATGGGGCACATGGAAACTACAGTCCAAAGAGGAAGGATTTTCTCCAAGTCCCTGAGAGTTGGCAGCAGAGAGGAGTCAGGGGGAAGAATGAGAAGGATGGGAGGGAAGGGACTCACAAAAGGACAGACTGAGTGGTGGGAGGTGTTGGGCCTGGGAAGGGCCTGCAACCTGAAAAACCCTGGGTATCCAGTGCCTGCAGCAGCTCCCAGCAGGGAGAACCTGAGCTCACCACACCAGCCATCTGCTGCCCCCAGGAGAGCTGTGTGGGGAACTGCAGTCTTAGGCCCCACAAGGCAGTGTCCAGGGTTCTAGTCCAGAGGGCAGGGTGCAGAAGACAGACCACTCCCCCCAGTGCAGGAAGCCTACAGGAAGTTCTGCTCAGCCACATGGCCAGTCTGGGACTTCCCATGGCCATACCCTGTCATTCCCCTGGAGGGTTCTTTGGTGTGTCTGGTCCCCAGGAAAGGGACATAGCTGAGACTACACACTAGAAGCCCAGCAGAGAGAGCCCTCCTACCCCCACCATTTCCTGCAGAGACCACCATCTTCAGGCTCTGCCCATTGAGCAGGTAGCAGCTGATGTCCCCACAAGATCCCTGATGACCACCCCCAGCAACGTCTCCTTACCCTTGGCCAGACTCAGCCAGCCCATACACACAAGTCAAAGATGGACACTCAGCCGGGTGGTCTATGTACAAGACAGCATGCACACTCAGCACAGGTAGGAGGAGCCACAGGGCCCAAAGAAGACCCAGGGCTGTTGGGAGATGTCAAACCCCACCCCCAAACCAAAAACCCCACCCACACTGACCTCACTCTGATGGGGTCAAACACCCGATCACCTCTCTGGAGGTGGCCCTGTAGCCCAGGGTCAGAGAGACAGCTACAGGACAGTTAGCATTAGCAATGCATGAATAAAACTGCTGTCCACTTGATCTTTGTTTGTTTGTTTGGTGGTGGTGGTACTGGGGTTTGAACTCAGGACCTTATGCTTGCTAGGCAGGCACTCTACCACTTTAGCCACACTGGCAAGCCTTTTTTGTGGCTTTTTCAAGATAGGGTCTCTTGAACTATTTGGCCGGGCTGGCCCTGAACCACAATCTGCTTGATCTCTGCCTCTGGAGTAGCTAAGACTACAGGTCTGAGCCGCCAGCATCCGGACCACCTAATCATCTTTATCCTCCTGGAAGACCGGTTGGGGCTGTGGGTGGGGGCTAGGAACAGGAGTTGCTAGGCTGAGGGGGGTCCGGAGGAGTTTCCCCTCGGCTGGAATCCCCAGAGTAGAGGCTGAGCCTCTCCTGCACCATGGCTGAGACTGGGAGATGATGGGAAGGGCTCCCCAAGAAGTACCTGAGGGTTTCAGAGCAAAGGGGGAGCAAAGGAGGAGCAAAGGGGAGTAGGTATGGTTTCTACACTGATCCCAGAAACCAGTATGCCATCCCAGTGTCCCCAACCAACCCCTCTTGTACCTAGAACACTCTGCCCATAACACCTGATGATGCTACATCTTACATCAGCCACAGGCTCCAGGGCACACGGGCAGGGGATGGCCTGGCTTCTACTGCCAAGTCCAGGTTAACACAGTAGCATACAGTCTGACTGTTTAGGACAGGGCCACTGTGTTGTAACTGGGGCTCAGTGCCCAGTCAGAGTGCTCTGGACATAGGGGCCAGCTCAGCCTCCAAGAACCTGTCCCCAAAGCCTTGCCCCTTCCTACCAGGGAACCTTCCTTCCTCCACAAGGTGGTGGTGGTAGGGGGTGTGCAGTAAGACACTCTGTGCCAGCACCTAAAAGACATCTAGCAGGCAAGGTCTAGGGGCTGGGCATGGAAGACGAGGCCAGACCACAGCCTACCTAGGCTTGCTTCAGGAGGTGCTCAGCCCTCAAAGCTGGCCAGTCTGCTAGCCAAAGCTCTGCAGGGGAGACAGCCAGAATGCAGGCCCAGGCCAAACCTCGCTTCTGCCCTCACGACTTCAGAGACTCAGAGTCACACAGACACAGGGACACCACAGGCACATAAGCTGAGATACATGCTTGCATACACAAGAACATGTACTGCTGTTCTACACACACACACACACACACACACACACAGAGGCCCTGGAGCCCTGAGACCAGCGTGTACTGTCCACTTCCTTCAAGGTGTTCTAACTCCCACCCCATCAGCTCCAAGCAGACGATGCCCACACTGTGCCCATGGAGCCAGCCAACAATGTCCCATGAGGTCTGGCCATCTGCCATCAGGGCTCCATGACAAGGCCACCTCAGCTGTCTGTGGCATGCAGGGGGTGAACAACAAGGAGACCAGGGACACCCACCTGACCAGGCCAGGGTCCCATTCAGAAGGACCTCCAAAAGAGCTTGCTCATAGCAGCCTGGGGCAGGCAGTTCCCAGCATGACCTGGGCCCAGCTTACACCCCTCTGTCTCCCACATCTGGCTAGGCCAGGATGAAGAGGAAAGCAGCCCACCCTGGGCCCAGGCTCTGAGGCAGCTTTGAGGAGGCAGGGAAGTCAGTGCCAACACAAACAGGCTGCAGTGTCTGCCTTCCTGCTGCGGCTTCAGCTCCGGGTGGGCGCCAGTGTCCACCCCAGGTCCACACCCTGAGGCAGGGGCACCACAAATACCTGGCACTGGCAGGGTAACACCCCACACAGAGAACAGCAACTGAGGGGTGCATATAGAGCCTGGATGGGATCATTTTCCTCCCAGCCTAGGTGGCCAGAAACACCCCTTCAGCCTCTTACCTACTTCAGGGACAGAACAATGTTAGGGGTGAAGGTGCCCCAGGGATAGGCCAACGGGACTCTAATCTCTCATCCTGGGCCCTCTTAGACCACCCCAAGCTGTACTCCCACTTCCTCCCCAGCACTCTGAGGCATTTCTCTGCTGGAGCTCATATGGGGGTGGAGTGAGGGGAAGTAATTAAGAGCTGAGGTGGGGGTGCCCGTCGGGGAACAAAGCACACTACCAGGGTTCAGCATCTCCATATGGCTGGCAGCCTTACAGAACAGTTTCTAGCCCGTGAGGCCAGGCAGCTAGAGTAGCACATGGCACTGGTCCCAAGTGCCCCAACCCAGGCATGTCCAAAGGTCAATGGATTAAGTCCAGTTCAGCCTCAGCCACATCTGCACACCCCTGTACTTGGACAGGAGACATGGGACACATTAGTGTGTGTGCAGCAGCCAGGGCAGAGTGGGGTGCACAGTGAGGTGACCAAGCGCTCATGTTCACACCCTGTGTGATGCAGCACAGCCTCTGGTGAACAAGCATCTATCCCAAGCTGGCCAGCCAGAGGCACAGATATGGGGACAAGGTTGGGGTGCCGGGAAAGTCACAACCATCCCTCTCCCCCAGCCGGAGTTCATGGCCAACCTCAGATGGGGAGACTGAGGCTGTGATTCAAGACAAGGGGGCAAGGTCAGCTAAATCCCAGACCAGTGCTCCACCCCGGTGGCCCAGCACCCTCCTTCCCTGTGGCCGTTTCCAGGGCAACGCCCAGGGTGGGAGGAGTTAGGCAGTTAGAACTTCAATCACGGGTTTCCCCTTGTCCCCTGCCCTAAAGTGACCCTCTGGCAGGAACCACACTGTCCCTCCCTTGCTGTACCCCCACCCAGTCACGGTAGGCTGGACACCCATTCTCATAAAACCAGCACCCCTGGCACTACTGCCCACCCACCCAAGAAGAGACCAAGTGCAGCAGGCAAGCACAGTACCCTGTACCCTGGGGGCTCCCCCCGACAGCTGGCTCAAAGGAGGTCCAGGGGGTCATGCCAGCCAGGATGAGGCAGGGAGTACGGCGGATCTCTGAGGCTCCCAGAGCCCTCAGGTCCAGCTTGGTCAGGGGTACAGGCAGAACCAACCCACAGCAGAGGCAGGGAGGAGACTGAGAAACACACACAGGGGCTGGGACAGGGAGGGGACAGCCTGGGGTTCTCTAGTCCGGGCCTCTCCAGGGAAATCAGAGAGCTGAGGATGGAGGGGAGGATGGCACCACCCCCAAAAGGCACACACACAATCTCAATATTTTTTTTTCCTCTCTCTCTCTCAATCTCACTCTCTCTCCCACCGCCCCCCCCCACCCCCTTCCCGGAATCCCAGGAATTTCAACTTGGCTCAGGTCATACTCCCCAATTCTCCCAGAGTAAACAACTCCTCCTGGCAGGAGCAGGGGTGGGATAGGTCCTGGGCCCCTCCTCCAGGAAGCCTTTGGCCCCCACCCCATCCCTAGGGCCCACCCTGCTGACACCCAGGACCCCACTCCTCTGCCTCCCTCACCTCTGGACATCCGAAGTCTCTGCAGCTAAGCCTGACCCCAAACCACTGTGGCTCAGGGCCCCGTGCTGCCCCTTTGGCCAGGCAGGATGTGCTGGAGGGGGGAGCAGGGAAGGGAAGTAGCTCGTGGCTCTGCGCGTGGCTCTGCGCGTGGCTCCGTGGGGGGATGGCAAATGCTGCTGGGGATGCTGTCTAGGGTGATGGTGGTGCACAAACCCCAAGTGGGCAGGGGCTCTGCCTAACCCCACTCAGGACCCAGAAGACTCTTCACGCCTCTCCCCTGCTGCCAAATGCAGCATTTGCCCCAACGGAGCAGCAGACAGATGCCTGGGACCCCAAAGGCCAGCAAACCTGCCTGGAGCTCACACACCCCCTCCTCCACGGAGCTGCCCGCGTCCGTCCCAGGACCCCCCAACCCCTTTACAGCAGGAAGATTTTGGAGCCAGGCTCACCCCACTCAATTCCTGGGAAACCAACGCCCGGTCTCCTTAAGTCCTCGGCAGCCAGCCACTTCCAGTTAAGGCAGATTTGTCACCTCCACTGGTCCTGCAGGCACAGCCTCCAGACCTGAGCCAAGCGTCCCCAGTGAATGGATCTTCGCGGTTCAGTTCAGAGGGCGCCTCCTCCACGACGCCTCCCCTGACCACCACCACCTCCCCAGAGACGCGCGTGGGCCGTCTGGCGTCCAGATCGCCGCTACCCAGGGCCGCCCGCCGCGGGGGAAGCCACCTCCCCGGGAAGGGGCGGACGGCGGCGCACAGGAGGCCACCGTCGGGGCCCACGTGTCTGTACTGCCGCGGGTCCTGCAGCGGCTGGCGAGAGGGGACGCCCCCAAACTCCGCGGCGGGGACTCCTGGGCGCCTTGGGCAGGGGCTTGAGGTGGAGACCCCTCAGAGGCTGTGCCCAGCGGGCGGCTGGAAGACCCTTCGTGACCGCGCTCTTGGGAAACCCCCGCCCGGACCCACCACCGCCACTTGTTGCCTAGCCTCGGCTCGCGACCCGCACTTGGGGCTCGAACTCGCGCATCCGGCTGGCGTCTGTGTGCTCGGGCCCGTGGGATCCCGTCCGGCCGCGGCGCTGTACCTGAGTGCACCGCCTCCCTCCGCGCTGCTCCCGCCGCGCAGCTGTCAGTCAAGCGGACACGAGAAACGCGAACCGCCGTCCTCGCAGGCCTTTCGGCCACGCTCGCACGCCGTAGCGCCGGAACGTACCACTATGGCGGGCAGGGGGGGACGGGAGTGCTTTGGGTCCTGTAGTCCACGTACGCTAGTGCGTCTCTCTCCCCGGAACCTCCGCAAGTCACGGAAAAATCTGGTCGCGGCAGGAGCCGGACGACGGCAGTGCCGGGACGGAGAAGGGGGGCAAAGTTGCAGCTCCAGGCTGAGAGTCCCCCCCCGTCTAGTGGACGTGCCCGAGGCGGAGTCTGGAAGACACCTCCAGCTCGCCGCCCGCTGCCTGCCGCCACCATGATCATCCCGGTGCGCTGTTTTACCTGTGGCAAGATCGTCGGCAACAAGTGGGAGGCTTACCTGGGGCTGCTGCAGGCCGAGTACACCGAGGGGTAAGGCGCGGGGCCGGCGGGGACGCCCCGGGCCTGGCAGGACGGCCCGAGTCCGGGAGAAGGTCCCGGCCTGCGCGGCGGAGCGGGGGCGTGGCCATGGGCGCGGAGAATCCGAGACGCCCGCGTTTTGGGCCGGTTCCTGGGGGTGGGGGCCTGGCCTGCCCGGGGCTGGGGCGCGCGTGTCAGGACTTTCTGGCCGCGGTGCTCCTTTATCCTGGGGAGTGGTCCTGGGGAGTGGTGGGGATGTGAACATCAAGCCTGAGGTATCTTAAGGACACGTTCCCCCCACCCCACCCCCGTTCCCCGGAACTAGGATTTGAACCCAGGGCCTCGAGCTTGCTAGGCAAGCGCCCTACCTTTTGAGCCACGACCCACAGCCCTTTTTTGCTTTAGCTACTTTTTCGGATAGAGTCTCCTGCTTTTTGCCCCGGCCGCCTCGGTCCTCCTGTCTACTCCTCTAGCATATGTAGGACCACAGCTGTATGCCACTACACCCGACTTGTTTGTTGAAATGGGGTCTCGCCAACTTTTGCCGAGCTGGCCTGGAAGCGCAAACCTCGTTCCTGTCTCCGATGGTGTAGCTGAGATTACAGGCGTGAGCCAAGGCACCCACCTCTTGGGGACTTCTAAGTAACCTTTTAGCGGGTCATAAGCACCTCCACACCTTCAGCAAAGCACTGTCGCCTCCCTGTCCATCTGCTCTCTAATCTACTGCCTCTGCTCTTAGATCCACCCCAATGTCCTGAATGTTGCTGGTTCTTTCAGATGCAGGACAGACCTCTATACTTAGTGGTCATCATTAAGCTTTGGGGGTGTCGCCCTGTGCTGTCTCTTTCCACTGCAGTCACCATCTTACCTGTCTTGTTCGAGTCTGATCTTCAGCCACCATGTGAACAGTTGGGCGTTTGGTTAACTGTGAAGCCTTGGGTCTCAGGGTGCCTGCATATCATAGGAAAATAGAAGAGTGGCTGAGCAGGTTGCTGGAATGACCAGTGTGGGAGAGAATGGCTACCATCCTCCCAGGCCCTTCTTCTTGAATACCGTAGGCAGGAACCTCCCCATGCCACCGCCTCTTTCCCACATTTCCATCTCTGCACATGGGTGTGGAACTTTCATGGAAGGAGGCCTCAAGAGTGCCTGGATCCCAGGAAAATTGGAGGCTTCTAATTGGTTTGGGAAATGGGAGCAGTGGTTCCCTAGAGAAGCAATCTCTCCCTGATTTGGGGGAGCAGGGCTAGGGAGAAACCCCACAGCCAGTGAGTGGCACTTGCTCTGGCCATGGTGAGGCCCTGTATCTGCTAAGCATGGCCTTGATGAACCAACTCTCCAGGCTCCATTGGTAGTTTCTCACAGAGTCCACCTCAGGGGGAGGGGGGGATCTGGGAATCAGCACTTTGGTAAGGGGCTCTTGTTCTTTTAAGCATCACCAAAGAACTGTTTGGAAGCCCCACAGAGCTGCCCCAGCTCTAGGTATGAGAGCTAGAAGCAGAGACAGAAGACCGAGGTTGAAAAATGGGCACATAACATAGGGTGCGATGATAAGGGGACTCCACTGCTGGCCACTACTTTTTTTTGGCAGTACTGGGATTTGAACTCAGGGCCTACACCTTGAACCATTCCACCAGCCCTTTTTTGTGAAGTTTTTTTTGAGATAGGGTCTCAGGAACTATTTTCCCAGGCTGGGTTCAAACTGAGATCCTCCTGATCTCTGCCTCTTGAGTAGCTAGGATTACAGGCGTGAGCTGCCAGTGCCCTCCTTGCTTGCCACTCTTGAGAGTGGGGCTCACTTGCTCCACCCCAGCTATCTAGGTGCATGTTTCAGGTGTTTCCAGGTCACTCCACTGCTACTGGGCCTCAGCCCCTATCCATGTGGCTCTTGGCTCCTAGCTTGTAGCAGATAGAATGCCCAGAGGCCAGCGGATATGGCTCCTGGCCTTTAAAGCCTGTGGGTACCACAGCATGCCCTGCCATCCCTCCCGCCACAGGGACGCCCTGGATGCCCTGGGTCTGAAGCGTTACTGCTGCCGTCGTATGCTGCTAGCACATGTGGACCTGATCGAGAAGCTGCTCAACTATGCTCCCCTGGAGAAATGACTGCTGGCGCTCACCCTCCCACTCTGCTGACCACAGGCAGGCAGTGTCACACTGGGTTCAAGTGGAGGTGTTGGGACATCAGGAGAAATGCCTGCCTGCCGCTGTATGAGTGCATACCCCCTACTCTGGACAGAACCGTCTACTAAAGGTCTTTGTAGAACCACCAAGAGGTCTTGCTGATTGGCTTGGTTTTGTGGGACTCCCTGCATCCGTGTCTCAGTGACCAATCTTGGAATTCTGTCGGGGGTGGGGGGGGAGGGAGGCTTATTTGTGCTTCCCTGGTCCAAGCCCTCCAGTAGGATGGCAGAGGCAGAGACAGCCTTTCACATTGGAACAAAGGCTGCAGGAGACAGAAACCTAGCTAGGCCTAGGCCTTACAAGTCCTTCCAGTCTTTTACCTCATTGCTTCCCCTAGGGCCTCTCCAGGCCTCTCTTCCTGCCATTCCATAGGGGTGGATGAGGGGTTAGTATGGCCCTTTCTGTCCTGGGGGAGGGACACCATCTATAAGGCAGATCCCAAGCCAAGGAGTGCCCTCCTTTGGAGAAGGCCCTGGCATCCCAGCCCCAAATACTGAGCACTCTTCACACCTCAGGGTATGTCCTCCCAGAATCTTTTGGTTTTGGCAGTACTTGAGTTTGAGGTCAGAGACTTGCACTTGGTAGGCAGGTGCTCTACCACTTGAGCCACACTCCCAGTCCTCCCAGAAAGTAGAGAACCAGATTTTTCTGGGACCAGAACAGCATTTGCTGGGTTGCCTGGGCCCTCCTGCTCCCCACACCTGAGGATCTTCCCAGAACCCTCCAGGCTCCACCCAATCCTAGCAGCAGATCAACCCAGTGTTCACAACCAGCCCTGAGACACTGCCCCCCCCCCACCACGGCTGGACAGCACTTAGGTGTGGGCATTCAGTGCTCCAGGGACCTTTCTAGTCTGTCATCCAGTGTGAGGCTTTGAGAGAGATGAAAATCATGTCACCCTAGCCTGGGGTCCAGCTGGCATAGAGTGTTTGATTCAGGGGCACTTCCTCTAGCCATCAACTGACCAGACATACAATATGTGGTCTCTGGAGTACAGTCCAAGTCAGGGCACATTTCTAGTGTGACAGGTCCACCACACTTAGACATCAAACCTTGGAGCCTCTCCTACTCTCTGACCCCAGCAGAGTCTGTAGACTCTTCTGTAAACATTTACAGCCTCTCACCAGCCTCCTAGTCAGCCATCTTGCCCCACCACCCCTAGAGCCAACTGCTCTCACCTTGCATGTCCCTCGCAATGGCCAGAAAAATCTTTGGGGACCATAAGCAGGTCCCAGGCCATACTGGGTAGGAGGCCCATAGGCTACTTGAAGTTAGCCTCATTTGCTCCCCAAGAGGCTCCTACACTTCAAGAATATGTTCAGCTGTCCCTGCATCTGGGCTTCCCCTTCTTTGAGCCTGAAAGTGCTCTGGCTACCCTGGACCCTAGGGACAAGCCCTCCCAGCTCCAACTCTTTGTACCATGAGCAGGTAGGTCTGTCCATCCTGCTGGGTGTGAGGACAAGACCATCTGTCGCTGAGAGCAAGCTGATTCAACTGTTCAACAAACATTTATTAAGCACCTGTTACAAGGCAGGAGCAGTTGAGGGCATCTGGAATACAGTGGATAAAAAGCCCTGCCCTACACAGGACATTCTAACGGGTAACAGTGCACAAGTGAACATGGGGCATTTGAGATGGTGTTAAAAGTGATGGGAAAAATTAAGCCAAGGCTGTGGCTGTTAGAAGCAGGCAATGCCTGTGGGTAGAGGGCAGAGGCACAAGCTGTTGGGTGCCCTCAGCTACCTCTAGTTGGGGTGGGGCCAAGCAGCTATGAAAGCCTGGTGTGTATGTCACCCCAATGATAGGCACAAAGGGCACCTGCCCTGCCCCACCCAGCAAGGCCCCTCCCACCCGCCTGACCCCCATGCAGGGTATGTGTCCAGGTTCTGTCCAAACCTATTTCAAACTTGTCAGCCAGAATGAACAGGCAACAAGAACTGACCCCACAACCCACCCCAAAGGAGGTGACCTGGACAGGAGGCAATCCAGCCGCCACCCTACCAGCCTGGCCAGCCTGCCAGCAAACCCCATACAGACTGACTGGCCCCTTCTTCTGGGGCAGGGGCCACCCCAGTTTCAGAACTTTGGTGTGTGGTGAAAGGCACTTGAAGCCAACTACCCCCTGGAGGGTGGATGGCCAAGGGTCATGGTGATGGCATGGAGGGCGCAAGCACGAGGATGGCCATTGCCCTGACAGCAGTCTCAGCTCAGTAGTCGGGTAGGACACGCGGCAGGAGGCAAGTGGTGAGGCCAGGCCCCACTGGTCAGTAGTGCTCCAGCTTGAGGCTCCTGTACAAGCAGCATGTGAAGATCATGCCGAAGACCTATGCAGAGCCAAGCAGGCATGAGTGGTGCCAGGGGCCCATCTGCCATCCCAATATCCCCACCAAGCAACCCTGTGTACCCGCACCTGCACACAGGCGATGCCGATGCCCACGGCCCCGATGACCCTCAGGTGCTCCTGGATGAAGGTTTCTAGCTTGGTGATGCAGCCACCCTGGCAGGGTGAGAAGCGCTGAAAAAGGAACCCCACTGCCCCACCCCCCAAACCTGGCCCTGCTGGTTTTGGCTGTCCTCAAATGTGGCCAGATCAGCCCCCAGACACGGGGTCCATGTAGCCCCTCACTGGGCGCCCACTTACCTCCACCTTGTAGATGTTGGAGGCATGGTCCCGCTGTCCACAGCCAGGCACCACAGTCTTGCAGCAGCTGTCTGGAACCACACGGCCATCTGCCTCCCTGGAGCGGATCCATTCACTGTCCCTCCAGTCCTGGGAGTTGTTGCTGCCACAGCAGTGGAACTACAGCGAGAAGGTGGATGACTCCTGTGGCCTGCAAGGACACAGCCCCATGCTGAGGGAGGCCGCTACACATCCCTCCGGGGACACTCACCTCCTGCTGTAGCTTGTCCACAGCGCTGGTCACACCCTCATGGCCTGGCTGGTGGTACCTCTTGGTCATAGTGTCCTTCAGGTTCTCCTTGAGCTCTGTGTTCAGCTAGGGTGGGGTGGTTTCAAAGTCTAAGACCTCCAAGATGGGGCTGGGAGAGTGCAGGATGGAAGAGGGCCCAGGGTGGAAGGGAAGAGCTGGAGTCAGCAGCTCAGCATGGGGTTGGTGGGACTGGAAGAGTCACCAGGGGGATCACAGGATACCCTGGATACCTGCCCCCCTGTGAGCCCCAAGGTGGGCAGCTTGGAGACTGCAGGCAGGTCATCACCTCCTATAATCTACCTCTCCTGTGTGCACATCTGTCCTGGGCATGCCCTCTGTGCCCCAGTGGCTGGGCCAGGACCCTCACCTGCTGGTAGTAAACATAGGCCAGGATGCCAGCAATGATCTCCAGCAGAAAGATGAGGAGGAGCAGGATGAAGTACTGGGGGGCAGAAACCCAGTAAGGGGGTCTCCGAGGGTCAGGGCACCACAGAGTGGAGCCCCCACCCAAGGGGCCCAGGAGAAGGGCTCCAAGCAGCAGGTGTGGGCCGGAGCTGCCCAGCTCCCTGATGTATCTTGGAGCTGGTGTCTTCCCAGAGCTGATACAGCTGGGAATGAGGCCCACAGGTGTAGGCAGGTAGGGGGTCATCCCCAATTGGGCCCCAGAGTCCCAGGAAGCTAGTGAGGAGTCCCTGCCATCCCCACCACCCCACAGGGTGCCACCATGCCCTGCTGACCAGGCGCAGCAGGTTCCGCCGCTCCTTGAAGGTGGCACAGCAGCCCAGGACGCCAGTCACCATGACAACAACACCAGCCACCACCAAGATGTAGGCTGTGGCCAGGTAGGTGCTAGAGGCCAGCAGGCTGATGTAGTCACTTTTGAGGGCCAGTGTCCAGATGCCCACTGCCATGACAGCCAGGCCGGCCAGCTGCAGGCAGTGCACAATGGTCACACATCTGGGTCTGACGGCTGGGACTGACCTCCTAGGCCATAACCCTGAGGTCAGGGAGGCAGGGAGAAAAAAGGGAGAGCAGCAAACCCCGACCCCCACACTCACCCAGAAGCAGCAGTTGAAGGTGAACAGCAGGTACTTGAGGCAGACAGTACCACATGTTGCCTTCTTCTCGTTGAACTCACCCATCCTGGGCTGGGGAGGCAGGCAGGGGTTTCAGATTGCCTGCAGCACCAGGCCCCTGACTGAAGCCAGTACGGGCAGAAGGAGATTCAACCATGCTCTGACAGCCTGGGATTGGGGCTGAGCCAGCCACCTGCCCTAGGAAGAGGGCCTTGGGAGGAGGAGCCTCCCTGGGAACCAATGAGTCACTTCCTGGACAGTAGCTCAGCCCCAACCCCCTGTAACCAGGTGGGGCCTCTGGTGCACATGTCGGGGGGGTGTCACTGAGGACCCCCAACCACCAGGTAACTCACCCCTGCTGGCAACGGGGAGGGAGCCCCAGCAGACCCCTCAGGGAGAGCCTGTGTGAATCTCATCCCACAGCATTCCCGAGGCCCTACGTCACAGGCTAGCAGGAACCTACCGCTCAGAGACACGTCCCCAGAGACCACAGAAGGACAGGAAACTTGGGCCAACTCAAGCACCTTATGAGGGTTCTCTGCACAGTCTCTTCCTCCCAGCCAGGGAAGGGGCAACGAAGGTGGAGGTGCCAGTAAGCAGAGCCAGCAGACCTGAGATCCCCTCCAAAACTGCGGGGTGGGGCGCCAATCCAAGGGAGCAGTGAAGCTGCAGCGCTCCTCCCCACCCCCCAAAGGCGCACCCTTCTCTACCCACACCAGTCTACCCTGAGGAAGGCTGGGGTGCACACAGCAGCTGAGCGCCCTGGGCTACGTCTCCAGACATGCTGCTGGGCAGGACTTTCACCTCCCGCCCTGCCCAGCACTCACCAGGCTGACTGGGGAGACTCCTTTGTAGAACAAGTGGACTGAAGTTCCCTAAAACACGGACCTAGAGGGGCAGGAATCAGTCACAGGTCTGGCCCTCACCTGTCTGGATCCTGCCACTCCTTGTGAAGACCCAGGTAGTGGGCCAGAAGAGCTTCCAGAGCCTCAGGGTCCACTCTGGAGGCAGAGTGAGGAGTAGCCAGGCCTGGTATTTTGGTCTGGGCCAGGGTGGGGCAGAGGACATTTCTGGACAGTCTAATCCTGGGAGGGAAAGACCTCACGCATGATCTAAGTGCCCCACCCTGACTCTTAGCTCCAGAGTCACTGTCCCTCCCCCACCAAACAGCAGCAGCTGCAGCGGAGTGGGGGAAGGGCAGACTTCTACTCCTCCTGGGCTAGGGGACACAGACCTTCATCCGTGGGGTGTGGGGACACATATGCCCACCCCTGGACTGGGGGGGGCACAGATCTCCATCTTACGATGGAAGACAGACCTCCCTCCACCTGAGCTGAGTCCGAAATACCTGCTCCCTCACTGGGAGGTGTAACCCTGACAGATTCCCTGCCACTGTGTAAACTCCTGGACCAGGTTCTGTGGGCACAGGCCTACTGGGGCGCTGGTTCTGGACACACATCCAGCCGCCTCGGCAAAGACCCGGCAAAATGCTGGGTGACCCCTCTTCCCAGAAGTGCCTGGCGCATGTGAATCCCCTGAGAAAGGGGCGGCGTGGGAACTGGGACCTGCCAGAAATACCTCCTGTGGCCTGCCCTACACCCAGCCTCTAACCTCCACCGGGCCCTCGGCGGCCCCCGCCCCACTCAAGGGGACCGGGCACTCGGCTCGTTAAGGAATCCCCGCGTCACCGATGAAGTCACCGCCGCCACCGCCCCCTCCCCCGCCCAGACGCGAGTAATGGCCCGCCCACTTGCACCGACCAGTGGGCAGGCCCGCGGGCGGAGGGGCGAGGACCGGCGTCCAGGGACAATGAGTGGGATGTTCAGGCTGCGCGTTATGGGGTCTTTACGCGAGGGGGGCCGCCGCGCAGTCCAAGGACCGCGGAGGCGCCCTCCCCGCTGCGCCCCCTCCCCTCCCGGTCGCCCGGCGTCGGTCCGTCTCCGGAAGGGCCGACGGACACGGCCTTCCGGAGTCCCCGGCGACTCGGACAGGGGCGCGCAGGAGGTCGGGAGCACTAGGGCCCCCTCGGCGCACTCACCGACCACGCGTCGGAGTCCCAGCCCGGCGGAGGCTTGCGGGGGCGGCAGCTTCGGGCGCCGAGAATGCGCGGCCCGGGGCCTGCGAGGACACGCCCCGCCTGCGGCCCCGCCCCCGGCGCTGGCCCCGCCCCCGGCCGGTCGGCGCCGGGCAGGTCCTGACTGGTGCGGGGAGCTGACGGTGCGGGGCTAGGGGCTGGGGGCCGGCCCAGTCTGCGGGGCTGGGCAAGCTTCGGCCTGGAGGCACCCATAGCCTACCCAGAGACAAAGGAGTGGGGCAGGTGGCAGAGCCGGGGGGACGGCGGCGCCTAACCAGCCAGAGGCCCCAGACTGTGGCCAGGACCTCGGCCTCCTGCGTTCCAATCCCCCATTCTCTCCCAGCCCTAGGAAGCACCGCGAGGCAGTCGGTTGCCGGCCTGCGGCGGGGTAGGGTCTACCAGTGTGGACGTGGACAGATGCAGGAGGGGCGGCTCTGGGTAGAGTATGGAGGACGACTGGAGACCCCAGGGAGGCGTGAGTCCCCAGGCTAGAAGATATTAGACCAAGGAGGAGAGCCAGGGGCTGAGGGAGAAAGGACAGGGTCTGCCTAGGGCTGGACCAGATTGCTGAGGAGGGAGGAGGAGGCGGGAGAGTGAGAGGTCCAGAGAGTGAGGGGGCGGGGCTTCCCACCCATCAGGCCAGGCATTCAGAGTCCAGGTGGTCTCTGGGTTTGTATGAGGGCTGGCCTGGGGACAGGGTGGCAGACTGGGAGGTGGTGGGAACCCATTCGGTGCTCCCTGGGGAGAGGGACCTCTGCTGGACTCAGTTCCCTGGAGTTTCAGCTTTGATGGATGGTTATGTCTCAGAGTGTAACTAGGGACCCAAAGAGGACACAGGGACCCACAGCCCAGCACAGTAGGGCCACGTGTGCACTTTCACGTGTCACATTGTCCCACTGGCACCTCACGCATGAACCACACTGTGGCTCCCAGACACACAGAAGGCCAAGGAGGACTCAGAACAGTCAGCGGGCTTTATTGAACAGAGGATTTTGTTGTTGCTGGGCAGAGACAGGGACAGGATGAAGGCTGGCAGGGCACTGAAGTCCCTGAGCACCCACAAGTGAGTTCCTTCATGTCTTCTTTAGGCAAGAGGGGGTGTCTCTGGGTAGCGTCCACATGCCGAATGGGACACACTCCTGACAAGGTGCCTTCAAGGAGCATCTCCTCCAGGTAATGCCTAATGAGTCACTAGATGCTGGTCATCGGGCACTAGGAAGGTGGCCAGAGCCACGTCTCGGGGGCCGAGCCCAGCCGCTCCTGCAGCAGCAACAGCAGCAGCAGCAGCAGGGTGGTCGCAGGCAGGCGAGCAGTGGCCAGAGCCTCCCTGTGGCTACTGCTGAGCAGCTTGACCTCACAGGCATCCCTCTCATCTCGAAGCCGCGTATTCAGCTCCCTAGGAGAGCGGGGTGTGAGGACTAAGCGGTGCGTGGGGGCTAACATTTCAAGGAGGCAGCTAGCTAGAGGAAAGTGAACCCTGCTCCCCTCAGACCAGAAGAGGCTGTCTGGCAGAGGCTGCATGTGAGAGATGGAGATGGAGGGCAGACATCCCAGTGGGGATGAGACAGAAGCCAAGAAACTTGGGAGCATGGAGCCCCTTCCCTGACACAGCCTAGACCTGACCGCACCTGAGCAGCTCCAGTTGCCGTAGGAGACTGAGTTTCTCTTTCTGCATGTTCCTGGAAACCGCAACCACATGTCTGTGGGTGGAAGGAGGTGACCAGGATGCAGGCAGGCCCTCTCCAACACACACACCCTAGGAGATCCTCCCTTTATTCTACCCCTCAGACCCTGTAGGTGGAGCTGAGCCCTGGGGTCCGGGTGGAAGTGCCTAGACCTGACCAGAGACTCTCCTGTACCCCCTGCGCTGGGCCTAGCCAGGCCTGCCCCCGCACCTCTGGGTTTGCTCCTGGTGGCCGCGGGCATCGCCCTCCAGTCTGCGGAGCTGCTCCTGCGCTCCCTCCAGCTGCTCACGCAGCACCTCGTTGGTACGCCGCAGCTGGGCGTTCTGGGCCTGTGCTTCCAGCTTCTCTGCAGCCTGGGTCTGCAGCTGCTGTTCCAGCTGGAGAATGTCGGGGTGCAGGCTGAGGAGCACGCCCGGGCTTGCCCCTCACTCCTGACAGTTCCGGGCCGGGGACCCGCAAGAAAACTGGGAGTCAGCGGTGAGACAGGGATGGGGCCATGGGCCCAGACTGGCGTTTACCTCTCGCTGCCGCAGCCTGGCGCGCTCCAGCTCCTGCTCACGACTCTGCAGCTCCAAGTCCAGGCGGCCCCTCTGCTCCTCCCGGGGGAGGTTCTGAGACGCACGAGGGCACCTGAGCCTCCGCCCGTCCCGCAGAGGAGACACGCGGAGGGGGTGTGGCGTGGAGAGGTGGAGACGGCCGGTAAGGGTACCGTGTGAGGCGGAGCGGGGCGCCTCGGACTGAGGGGCAACCTAGATCCGTGGAGGGGAGTCCTCCAGGGAGGGACCAACTCGGGGGAGGCGGGGCACGGGCGGGCCCACCTGGCTCTGCCGGCAGTGCCGTTGCTCCTGGAGCTGCTGCTCCAGCTCCTCGTAGAGGCTGCGCACCTCCCTGTCGTGCTCGCTCTCCCGCCTTTGAGGGACCGGGGTGCGACATCCGTGAGAACTTGCCAGCCTCCTCTCCTGCTCCCCTCCGCTGGGGCTCAGACCCTGCCTGGCCCGCCCTTACCGCTTCAGAGCCTGCTCCAGGCCGTCGCGCTCCCGGGCCGCCTCCTCCAGGCAGGCGGACGCGCGCATTAGAACGTCTTCCAAACTGCCCAGCAGTTCAGGTCGCTCGCGCTGCAGCCGGGCCCAGAGCGCCCTCACAGCTCGCAGCCTGGAGGGAGCAAATGGAGACTCAGGCCGGGACTGGCAGGCGGGAGCAGGGTAGCTCCCCACCACGGATGGTGACACCTCCCCTCCCCCCCCCATCTCTGCGGCCCAGGTCAAAACAGGCGCATTTGCCGAACGCAGCGTATCCCTCGGAGGGATGCTCTCCTCCCGCTGGGTATCCAGGTGTCCTGTGCAGGAGGGGCTGCGCAACCCTGGGCTAGACCAGGTGCCCGGTACCGCCCCTTCCCGCAGAGGTACTGCAGCCTCCTGAAATGCAAATTCTGCGGGAAATCACGCCTGGCCCTCCCCGACAGTCACAGCTGACTGAACGGCTAGACCTGGCCGGGCCTAGGGACCCTGCGTAGAAACGGACAAAGTGGACAAGGCATTCGGATTGAGGGATGGCAAAAGCGGAAATAGGGAACAGGTACAACAGCAACTCACTCGCCCAGGACCCGGGCCACCCCCAGCTGCTCCAGCGCCGCACAGAGCCTCTCAGCATCCTCCTCTTCTTCCTCCAGGGAGCCCCCCGTGCTCTGCACGTCCGACCAGCCCGACTCAAATGTTTCCTCGGGAGCCCGCGAGGGGCGTGTGCCCTGGGCTGACTCCACCCCCACAAACGTCCCTGCAGCATGGGAGGGAGAAATTACCAGGACCGTGGGTTGCCACCCCTGCCCTCCCCACTCACCCTCCCAGCACATATCCTGCTCTCTCTCAGGGCTCAGTTTCCTGTTTTTCTTCCCTATTCTGGTCCTATTGGCCTGGATTTGGGTTTGGGCCAGGTGTGGGGGGGGGAGGTGGGGCAGAAAAGTCAATACCACACATTGGCACAGCAGCTAAGGGACTCACGGGGCACCTGTGTGTAGATACCAGAGAGTCCTATGGAGAGGAGTGAAGGTCACAGGCTGCCCAGAATTCCAAATGGGCCAGAGGAAGGTCCTGGTCTCTGGGTGGCTGGGGATGGGCAAGGCCCTACTCACCCAGGCCCAGGCAGAACTCCCGGGCAGTGAGGAAGCCAGTGTGGGCCTGGTCCAGGCTTTCAAACACAGCCTCTAACTGCTCAGGCGTGAGGGGTAGGTCACTCTGCAGGCCCTGGTCAGGCAAGGGGAGTAAGGGGGCAGTGTAAGCAGCCAAGGTCAGCCCTGGGCCAGGCAGCCTCTTGAAACAGGGGCTCACCTGCAGGTCATGCCTGGTAATGAAGCCCTTGGCCTCCTTGTCACATAGCAGAAACAGTTCCTGGGCCTGCTGCAGCACCTCGGCCCCCTGCCCTGCAGAGGCGCCTTCCTGCTGCTGCTGCTGCTGCTGCTGCTGCTGCTGCTGGACCTCCTCAGCCCTAGGCTTCCCAGGGCTGGCCATGGGAGAAGGGTCTTGGCAGTGTTGGGTGCTCTGAAGCCAAGGGAGGGTCAGAAGAAATGGGGAGAGAGGGGTGCAAGTGTGGCTGAGCGCTCAGCCATGGAGTGGGCTCAAGCTCTCCTTGAACCAGGTGGGAAAGTGAACAGAAGGCCAGGCAGAAGTGGGGAATGGAAGGTGCTGCGGGTCTGAGGTGTCAATGGGGAGGGATGATGCAGGACCAGGCATCCAAGGGGCTGGGTCCCAGGAAGGGACCAGTTCAGGAAATGAGTGGAGGATGTCATTTTCAGGGGTTACTAGGGGAGACCTGTGAAAAGGGGTGGTCGGCTCAGCTCCTGGCAGTCAGAGAAGAAAGCTTGGTGTGGCCTATTATATGCTGGCCTTCTGACAGCTGGCAGGCCAAGTAAACTCCCTCCCTGCCCCATCAAGTGCAAGGTCCCAGCCCTGGGCACCAGGTGCCTCCCGCAGCCTTTGTCAGGAGCACCCTCCATAAGCTGGGCTCACACTCCCTTCCATAGAACTAAGCCCCCTACCTTGTCCCTTCCATGTCCAGGAACCTCCAGGTTCCTGGAGCCTCCCTCTTGCCTCCTAGCAGGGACACTCCACCCCCTCATCAGAGCCACCTGTCATTCTAACCCCGGATTTCCCAAAGCAACTCCCTAGCCAGCGACACTGGCCCGGACCTGGGACTCTGGAATCTCCCTTCAGTCCATGAAGGTCATCCTTCCCCTACCCATATTCCTGGGGAGGGGGCACAATCCCCGAAGAGAGCAGGTTCGAGGAAACTGCGGGCAAGAGGAGAGGACAGGCAGAACCCGGGTCATTGTCCCCCAGGTCGCTGTCACCTTGACCAGGCGCGGTCACCACCCCACCGGCGGCTCGCGGACTCCACAGTACTGGAGGATCATGCTAGCCGGAAGCTGTGACCGGGCCCCAGGGAGCCAGGAGGAAAGGCCAGCGGGTGGGGCCCGCGAGCCGCCTGCGCTCCCCGCACGTCTGGGGGCTGATCCGGCCTCTGCTCCCGCCGCCGCCGCGCACCCTAAGTGCCACAGCCAGCCGCCCCCGACCGAGACGCACGCGGTCGCTGCCCGCCACGGCGGCTGAGAGGCTCGGCAGGGGCGGGGGTGCTGGAGGGAGCGACGGCGGGACCCCAGCTGCGGGACCCGCGAGCGCCTACCTGCAAGCTGCGCCGCCGCACCTGTTGCGCGGGCCGCTCCTCCCGGAAACGCGCGGCGCGCCCCGCCCCTGCCCGGACCCGGACCCGGACCACGCGCCGGGGGTGCGGGGGGCGCGGGCCCTGAGCTGCCCTGCTTGCTGCTTTGCAGGCCCGAGACCCTGGGTGGGCCGGCCCTAGTGGAGCCGCTGTCACCGTATCCCCGCCTCTCCGGCACTCAGCGACCGGAGTGACTGTCTCCGCAGAACCACCGGGAGCAGCAATGTCTCCGGGGACCTGGAGACCCTTCTGGAGCAGGATCTAGGCTGCGGGGGTGCAGACACCACCCCCCTATCCCGAGGTTCCAGACTTAAGGCGCCGAAACGTGTGTAGGAAAAACGCCGGGCCGGAAATAGACTAAATACTTTCAGCCGGCTCTGAGTTGGGGCTGGGGAGACTTGATTCTCTCCTCCATACTTCCCCAGTATTGATTTTTCTAATTTTTAAGCAACAAATATAAAATTCTAGGCATTTAACTTAGTGACACTAAGGCCCCGATGTAAGGGGAGTGAGTGTGGGGGACAGAAGGGGGGCACTTGAGAAGGGGTCCCCCTGCACTAATTTTGGGGTACAGTTCTGACCTGAGGGAGGACTGGGAGGAAAAACTAGGGAAAACCTGAGTGCAGCTCTCCTGCTCTCCTGCTGGGGAGGAAACCCACCCAAATCCCAAGGGCACCCTCCCTGGCCCCAGCCTGGCCCTTGTACCTACCTGGAGGGCTGGCCTGACTGTCCCACCAGCAGCCTGCGGCAGCACTGGGAAGCCCTGTGTTTCTCAAGTGGAACCACAACAGGCTGGGCCTATAGGACAAGATCTGGAAACCAAGAGGGGGGTGGCCCCTGGCACATAAGCAGGGGACCTGCCTGGCCGGCTCGCCCAGTCCTGCTGTCCCAGGTCCCAAGACCAGATCAACCGTTATTGTTGGCTGGGGGCTGCTACCACAGCCGCCCCACACCTTCTGGGAGAGGCAGGTGGCGCTGAGTCCTTAGGACTATGAGCTGGCACAGTGAGCCAAGACCCTAACTGCTTCACCACCCTTCACTCCTGGGGTCCTGTCTCCTCAGACTGTTTACCCTTCAGTGGAGAACACTTTCCGAAAGCCATGTCTTCCAGAATACAGTGAACTCCCTTCAGCTAGGGCCTCCTCCTGCCATAGTATTCTAGACCCCTCCTAGGTTCTGGCAAGAGAAGGTTATGGGAGGAGCAGGGGAACAAGAAGGCATGTGTACCTGGCCTCTGAAGCTTGTGACGACTGAGGAAGAACAGAGCCAAGCATGAAGCTTTGGGCCAGATGCCCAAGGTGCAGCAGGGGCTGGCATTCCCAGGTCCCAGACCTCAGCTCTAGAAACCTCAGCCTCTGGAGGTCCAACCCTGAAGTCAGCCCATGCCCCACTGTGTCTCTGTGTGGAGTAGGGTACAGATGACACCTGTAAAGCTTGGGTTTTTTCCAGTGCTGGTGATGGATTCCAAGGCCTGGTGCATGGTAGGCAAGTGCTCTACCACTGAGCCACACCCACACTCCACGGTAGTTTTACTTGGTCCCAGATAATACATCCACTGGATCTTGGAAAGCTGTGCTGACAGTCAGGCAGCAGGCCTCAGGGCAAAGTTAGGGGCACGTGTATAGGTCTTTGCCAGAAGGGCGGCCATTGGAGAAGGCTTCAGGTCCACCTGGCAGGCCCCAAGTGCCAGGCCCAAGTGTAATCCTGGAAGGCCTAACTCACAGCTGTAAAGACACTGGCCATTGGGGGTGGGGGTTAGGGGGAGGCTCTCTCCATGTCCCCCCCGAGCAAAGAGAGGGTGTGGCACATACAAGTGAAGAAGGCAGACGCTGAGCTGTGGCGTTTATTACATCTATTTTGGCAAAAATAAATAAATCTTCATAAACACTCTTGGGCAAAACACAAAAATAGGGCAGGAGGAGCAGATGCGTTCTCAAGGGGAACTGCACCAAGAAGCGGGTGGGGCTGGGGAGAGGTGCTTCTGTGGCCCCAAGGAGAGGGTTACCCCTCATCCCTCCCCACTCAGTGCAGCAAGTGAGTGGCTGGCGAAGGGGCATTCCGCAAACCCCTTTTTGCAGTTGTGAGGGCGCCCATCTCCTCCCTCCACACTGGTAACAGGAGGGAGGCAGGGGATAGTGTCCCAGGGCCCTGACTCCTGTGGCAGGCAGCTCAGGGTTTGGCTGGGGAAGGAGGAATAGGAATAGAGCCGCTCAGCAAGGGGGCAGGCCGGGTGGATGCTGCGCGGGTGCAGGCTCTGGGGGGGCGGAGCCAGCGGGTCGGCGCATGCGCAGGGCATCTGGCGGGAAGGCCACGTGGGCGCAGAAGAGGCCCAGCAGCAGCTGCCGCTGGCACTCCTCCCACTTGGCCAGCGCGTCCCCCAGCGAGAAGTTGTTGCGCACCCAACTGGGCAGTGCTTCGCTGTAAGTAGCACAGGACAGTGGCACAGAGGGCAACGACTGAGCTCTACGCAGCTCCATTTGCTCCGACAGCCTGCGGGAAGGGAGGCACCAAGGGAGGGCTTAGTGGGGGCCATGTGGCTGCCCGCCCTGAGTGGACACAAGAGCCAGGACAGCTCACCTGGAGGGCAGGTGGCTGTCCAGCTTCCTCTTGGCACGCATTACCAGGTACTGGCAGATGCTACCTGTCTGCTCTTTCATCCACCGGATGTCCTCAGGAACGTCAGGTAGCCACTCCAGCAAGCTGGAGAAGAGACAGGAAGCTTGGCCTCAAGCTGTGGCCCGACCCTCATCAGCATCTGCACTCCGCAATTTCCCCATGGTGACCCATCTCTCACGGGTGAGCACACTTCTGTCCCCAGCGCCTCCCCCCGACCCCCCGCACCCCCCGTCCCGCACCGGATGGTGAAGGACACGGCACTCTCCAGCGGCAACGTGTAGGGCACCATCATGGCTGTGGCCAGACGCACTGGCAGCATGTTGGACAGTGTGGTCATCAGATCTCTGGGCTCCACGCAGGCCTCCAGCAGGGCTGCAGGTAAGAGGTTGGCAGCCAGTTAGGGAGGTGCCGCTGTGCACCCACGCAGCCTCTCCACTGGCCCTGTCCCTTTCTTCCATCCTCCCTTCCCCAGGACGCACCCTCATTGAGCCGGGCAGGCAGGTGCTCCAGGATGTGATCTACCCCCGTGGGTTGCAAGTGGCCCTCTGTCTGGATCCTCTCTTCCGCAGCACTGGCCTCCTCTGCATCCTCTTCCTCCGGGCCTCGGGGGCGGGTAGGGGGCAGCGCCAGCAAGGGATTGGGCTGGTTCAGGAGGCCTGGGGGGCGGGGGAGGAGGTTAGCAAAACACCCGATCAACACCAAGACTGCTTCCCGCCAGCAGGGGGGCAGCCAAGAGCCGGCTCCGTCCACCCCATGGGCTGCCCACACACCATTCCTTCGCAGGAAGCGCAGGCCATCTCTGTAGCCCTGCTTGCACATCTCTCGAAGCACCTGTGGCAGGGGGATGGATAAATGAGTGCAGAGGGGGCCAGACACGCCCTGTTCTGTCCCTTAGAGTTCCTGTAACAGCCACCTCCACTGCAACCACTGACAACCAATCTTGGATCCAGCGCGACAACCAGGCCAGACCTAGGCTGGTCAGGCTGACTCCTGGAAAGGATGTGCAGGCCACAGAGGAAGCTATACAGATCCACCCCACCCTTAGCACCCAGGACAAGTCCCTTGGTTCTCAGTGCAGACAGACCACAGCCCCACTAGAGTCGGCTCACCATGGGCTCAGGTGGGAAAAGGGCCTTGGAGAGCCGGTAGAGGTTGCGCAGGTTGAACTGGATGCTGGTGTTGGTGACTCGGAGCTCGTGGATGTTGGTGGAGCTGTCCTGTGGGCAGATGTCACTCTCGCCAGAGAAGGGGGACACCGTGATGGTGTTCTTAAGCTCATAGAGAGGCAGGTTGTCTGAAATGCCGCCATCTACATAGCGCTACAATGACACCACCCACCATCACAGTCAGGGGCCCGCACAGCCATGCTGGCCTCTCCAGCCTGTGGCTAGTTCATTTGGGCTTTTTGCCCACTGTGTACAGGGTACTCAGCAGATGGCCAGAGGAGGGAGGGATAAAGGGAACTGTGCATATCCCCAGGGCTGGCCTGCCTCTTGAGTAACAGGAAGTGAAGCAACAGGCCATGGTGGCAGAGTGAGGGGCTGGATGGGATGGGGTTCCACTGGCCTTCCCTCCCAATCCCCTTGTCCTATAGCCCTGACCATAGCTGTTTCTTGTCACCCAAGGCAGGGCCGGGCAGGGTACTCACCACCCCTTGGAGGGAGGGAGGGATGAGGCCACAGTAGACAGGGATGAAAGTGCTGCAGACATTAGCCTGTAAGGCAAGACAAAAGATGGTGAGCAGAGATCTCGGGCTTATACTGTATCCCCAATGTAGCCCAACCAGGGCCCACCTGGACGAGCTCCTCCTTGGAGTTGAAATGGGATATAATGACATTCTCCCCATCGGAAACACGAGTCAGGGAGATGCCCAGACGCCCACTGGCATGCTCGTGGCCATCAGCAGGTAGGATCTTCAGCAGGCAGCCACGAATGGTCTTCACCAGGTTAAAGGAAGGGTGCAGGGGACCCAGGAACCGCTTCCGTGCCTCCTTGGATACCTCAATGATGTTGGCACCTGCCTCACCTGGGGCAAGAGGGCCAAGATCAGGGGCCAGCACTCCTGGGCCTACCAACCCATTTTCCCTGATGGTTCAATGGCCAGGATCCCATGGTGTACAGATCTGTGGCATCCCCATTGACCTTGAAGGATTCCCAGTGCCCATGATGAGGCCTGGTCCACAGCTAGAATTTTTGCCACCTGTCCTTGGGTAGAGGAAGGCAGGCCACCACCCCAGGATAGCAGAAAGCAGGCCGGTCAGCTGGGACTGGAACTTGCTCTCTGCCCGATATTTCCCAACTGCTTGTCCCCATGAGTCACTGTGCCTGGTGTGGTGTGGCATGCAGCCCAGGCAAGAGGAGAATGCAGAAGTTCAACTCTGACCAGCCTCAGCCTTTGCCCATTTGGCCAGATCCAAAGGGGGTCCAGACTCCCAAAATTTAACCCAGCCCAGGGTCACAGGCTTGAATGCCTTACACTGAAAGCAGTGGGTCCTCCTTGTGTAAGAATAAAACTATGACCCCCTGGCAGCCGCAAGCAAGCACCCCAACACTCCTCTTGGGAGTAATGCTACAGTAGGCAGGGAGGGGACAGCCTTGGGGGTTGAAGCTGAGGACCATGGCCTCCTTCAGGAACCCTCCTGAGTAGGAGTGGGATAGGTGGGCCAAGGCTCTCAGCTAGCACCTGCTGTATTGTGGAGTGCCCAAGAACACCCGTGAGAAGGTTTGTTGGGACTGGTGTGAGGCTCTGAAGTAGTGGCATCCTAAACCTGAGAACAGTCTTGAGGCATGTCCAGAAACCTGCAGGCAGACTGACTGAAGGCCTCCATGAGAGGGAGTGCACCCCCAGGTCTCAAGAACAAGAGCTGTGTTCCCTCCACCCTTACCCCCTTAGAACAAAGGTGATGGGAAGGCAGCAGGGGAGAACCTAGGACAGGCTTCTACTGGGCAGGGCACCTTGTCACCTTGACTGCCCCAGTGACCTGGGGGTTGGGCAGCAGTTCTGAGTACTCCTAAGAAAAAAGAACGCTGTGTGCTGTAAACACCACCCCCACGTGGCAGGCGGAAGTATGTGATAGAAGCCGGGCGGGCCCCACACACAGGGGCCTCTCTTGATCCGTGGTTCCATAGGCCAGAAACACCCTCACCTAGTGAAGTGGGCAAAGCAGCTGGTCACAGCTGGGGATCCAGGCTGGCAGGGCACCATGGGCAGGGGAGCGCTTGTCCCACCCAGGCCTGACCGGTGTGTGTGTGTGTGTGTGTGTGTGTGTGCCGGGGGCTCTTCCTCCAGAGGCCCTGCAACAGTACCCAGATGTCCCTCGGAGGCCATCCTCATACTAAGCACCCAGGCCGGGACAGCCTGGAACTGCGGAGCCCCATGACACGGTGACCGCTGGCAGGGGTCGAGGCGAGGGGGCGCGGAGGGGGGGAGGAAAGGGAGGAGGGGGACAAGGCAGGGGGTTAAGAGGGACGAATTTAGGCCCCGCCTCTTACTCTCACGGTCCCGCCCACAACTTACTTTCTCTTTCCAGTAACAAGGCTCTACAGCACCTGCCTACCCCCAACTTTTGCACCCTAAGAGATGGAACCCGAACTCAGAGCAGTACAGCCCCGGAGCGCGACAGGCCTCACCCCAGTCCCTGGGCATCCTCGGAGCAAAACAAACCAGGACAGGCGCCAGGCTGGCACTGGACCCTTGGCCATGGACAGAGAGACTCTGCCCCACGGGGCCCAGTGTACTTGCGACCCTGCCAGCTTCCCTGCGCCGGGTGAAGATGGGGCGCGTAGTGCGCACACAGAGCAGCCGCTGGGCCCCGGCCCCGCGCCCCACGCTGTCCCCACCAGACCCTGCCAGGTCACCGTGCGGCCCCCCCTTACCCAGGCAGGCTCCAGTGACCAGCGCCGTGGCCGTGAGTGCCCCAGCCGAGGCGCCATAGATGTGCGTGGCGTTGGCCACCAGGAAGGGCGCGTGCTCACGGAGACAGGAGGCCACCCCAATGTGGTAGACGCCGAGGAAGCCGCAGCCCGCGAACGAGATATTCCACTTAGCCTCCCGGGGGAACATCGCGGCTCCGTGCTGCGAAGGTGGCCGGCCCCGCGGTCGCTCCAGCTCGGGGTCTCCGCCAGCCGAGGCGGAGACGCTGCGCAGAGCCGAGGCGGAGGCGGTGTTTTAGCGTGGGACGAGAGCGGGGCGGGGGCGGAGCCTGAGCGCGCGGCCCAACCAGAACGCGCGGGGAACGGCCGCACCCCCGAGGCCCCGCCCCTCCCGGCAGCTCCGCGGGGCTGCCGTACCCGCCCCGTGCAGCCGCCTGCTGGGCTCCCGTGCCCCCCACCCACCTCCCATCGTCTGCCCCGCACTACGAGCGGGGGCCAGGCTCAGGTTCCGAGCGGGAGCCGCGAGCCTGTACAGATCTGGGTACCTGCAGAGGGAGAGCCCTGGTTTCCAGACGGTTGCCGCCCCCTCCTCCGGGATCAGCCTACGACAACCACCCGACACGAAGAGCTCGTCCCTGGGTTAAGTACGCACCGACTGCACCCACAGGGGCCTGAAAACCTAAGCCTCACAGGCCACAGAGCTCGAGGACCCACTGGCCGGTGCCACCTACGAACTGACTCATAAACGTTGGCCGCAGGACACTGGTCCCACAAGCAGGGCCACAGACCCTGGCACCCTGCCGTGGGCGTCTCAACCTTGCCCGACCGCACCCCTCGCGGCCCCTCCGTGCCCCGGCTGCTCACCTAGGCCCGACCCTGGCTCGATCGTCGGGGTCTACCAGGGCCTGGCTAGTTCTGGCCCAGCTAATTGCCCTAGCAGGCGAATCACTCCCAGGTAATTTCACCCTCCCGCCCCTTTTCCGCATTTTTCTCTGGGACTGTGGGGCGGGACAGGCTGGCTTGGACCCAGGATCGGCCCTTATCTCGCCCCCCCACCACGACCACCAAACGAGGGGTTGGCCTATTCTGGGGCGGGGGGGTGGTGGCGGTGTCTTTGACCAAGAAACTTCACTCCCTAGGCGGGAGCTCAGTTCTGGACCCAGCTGATACTTGGGTTGTTTTTGTTGTTGTTTTGTGGTACTGGCCCTGGGAACGCGCCTGATCCTTGGGATTTACTTATTAATTTTTTGGCAGTAATTAAGTTTGAACCAGACCTCGAACTTGCTAGCGCTCAAGCCACACGCCCAGGCCTTTTTGCTTGTTATTTTTCAGATAGGATCTGGCACTTTTTGCCCCTGTGTGGATCCTCCTACCTGCTTTCTGCTTAGCTGGGATTAGAGAGGTAAGCAAACACTGGGCCCCCTAGGTTGTTTTTAAACCATCCCTCTGGTAGTTCCAAGGACAAGAACTGGGAATGAAGCATGGAAACATGGAAAAGCTGGAGGAGGAAAAGAAATGAAGACCAAGTTTGAGGCCAGCCTGGACTACGTACTGAATTTGAGGGCAAATGCTTTGGATGGTTGTGTAGTGTAGCAAACCCACTAGGGGAGGGGGAAGGGAGATAGTTGAGGGTGGGGTGAGGATATGGCCTGATGAGCATGACCAGGGGATTAGGAAACCCCCAGTTTCATACTGAGGGGCTGGCTCCCAAGACCAGCCTAGAAAATCCAAGAGGTTCATCAGGGTGACCAGATGGGGGAGCCAGGAACTTAAGGTCCTGTCCACAACTTATTCTAAGAACAGGCCTTGGGGACAGTGCTGCCCCAGCTCAGGGAGGCCTCTGCCCCCATTTCCACAGAGGGTCAGGCTGTTTTGGGAACATAATCCCCCAGGCCCCTGGGAGGCTCAGGAGCCAAGAACAGGCTGGCCCTTCCTGGAATTCTGGGTAGGGCTAGGCTGTCCTCCCCATGGACCTTAACTCTCAGGCACAGCCTGATGAGAACCTGAAGTAGTGCCTCACCCCACTCCAGGTGCCCCCCAGGTGGCACAGGCCCCTTCCTTCTTGGTACAAGCTGGAACTGAACCTGAACCCTGGGCCCACTGCTGCAAATGGCTGAAGTCCCTAGCATTTCTTTCCCTATTCCTCCATCTACCAACTCCCCTCCCCCATTTCTTCCAGCCTCAGAGGGCAGAAGGATTTTTTTTTTTTTTGATTTGGTATTGGGGTTTGAATTCAGGGCCTCTGCCAGTTCAGCCCTAACCTCAGCCCTTTTTGCTTTAGTTATTTTTCAGGCAGGGTCTTAGGTTTTTTGCAAGAGCAGACCTCCTACCTCAGTCCTCCTGCTTCCACATCTTGAATACCTGGGGTTACACGCTTGCACCACCATCCCTTTTTTTGGGGGGGCGGGGGGATGTTGTGCAGTACTGGGGTTTGAACTCATGGTCTGGTACTTGCTAGGCACTTAAGCCAGGCACCCATTCTGTGGCTTTTTGAAATAGAGCTCCCTTTTTTCCCTTACTTTTGGCCAGGGCTAGCCTCCAACATAATCCTACTATAGTTTGGAGCTGGGGGTGCTTAGGGCCCTGCAATTAAAAACAAACTACATTCAGTGCCAGGCACAGGTGGCTCACTCACCTGTAATCAATCCTAGCTACTTGGGAGGTTGAGATTAGGAGGATGGTGGCTTGAGGCTAGCCAAGGCAAACAGTTCACAAGACCTTATTTTCAAAATAACCAGAGCCAAAATGGACTGAAGGTATAGCTCAAGTGGTAGAGCAGCTGCTTAGCTAGTGTGAAAGTGTGAATCCAAATTCAAACCCCAGCAACACCAAAAAAAAAAAAAAAAAAAACCAAAAAAACCCAAAAACCTCCCCACACCTCAGGACCTTGGGCCTATTCCCTCCTCACATTCTTGGCTCCTCAGCCCTTCTACATTGCACTCCTGATGTCCTGTCTTCCCAGAATAAGCCAGGTTGTTCACATTGTAGTGTTCCACCTCCCAGGCAGCCTGGTCAACTTGTTGCTGATTGAGCCTAGGGTAGATTTGTGTGCGGCAGATCATCTCCTGAGACAACACTGGTGGGCAGAAACCCAGAACAGAATGGTGGGGAATGGGAGGGCATGAGCCCCATATTCCAGGGCAGAACCTGTAGAAGAGTAGGCCCACCCCAAAAGGATTTATTAATAGCCAGTACATGATCCTCTGTCTACAAACCACCTCCATACCTGCCCAGTATCTGCAGGGCTGGCCCATTGGACCCAGGTTGCCTACAGTGGAGATGTGACCCCTGTAGGAAACCCAGGAATGCTCTCACCCCAGCTCAGGCCTCCACCAGACACTTACAAGCATTTCACTCTCTAACAGTACCCTGGAGCTAGGAAGCTGCTCAGGGCACAAAGTAAATGACTCAGGTGGCTCCTGCTCCTTCCCACCAATCCTGCAGCCTCCCGCCACACTCTGAAGATAAACTGCTCACAGACCAGTTAAGATACATAAAAAGGATTTATTTGCAGGGGAGCAGGAATTTAATCAAACAGGCCGAATCCCATGTCATCATCTGACTCCTCAGACTCCTCTTTCTTCTCGTCTTTCTTCTCCTCTGCTGTGGAGGAGAGAGCATGGTAAGCACTGTCCCATGTGCCCAACCAGACTGCCTATGGAAACCCAGTCAGCAGCAAATCTGAGCCTCAGCCCCCTACCCACCCACCAGGCCTCCACTTACCTGCAGCCGGAGCAGAACCAGCAGCAGGAGCTGCAGAGCCAGGAGCAGCAGAGACAGCCACAGCCCCACCAGCAGGCACACTGGCAAGCTTACCAACACCTACAGAAGGCAAAGAGGTGAGACCAGAATAGGTCCCCAGCCAAGAAGACTGTTGTTCAAAGATGAAGTGAGTCACAGAAGAAGCTATTTCACCAGGTGCAACACAGCACAATCAACATGCAGGAGGACCACTGTCACAGGCTCCCATGTTCCAAGACACGAGGCTGCCACCTCCAGAGTCAACAGACCCAATGACACCTCTGCCAAGGATTCTCTTCTCCTACCCTTACCCACCAAGGGAGGTTTTTCTATACAGAAATTTGGTTTCTAGGAATTAGGCCCATAGCCACCCTCCTCCCCAAAGATAAGTTGGACAAACATGTTTACAACTGGGCAGGGAGTCTGCTACACCAGTGTCCAGATCCTGATCACTGGTGAGCTCATGGACCAGACTATTTTCTGACTTAACTGTGTCTGCCATGTACATGAGAACAGACACTATTGCACTAGCTCAACTCCCAAACGAGTTCCATCAGCTCCAGCATGATGTCACCAGAAGACCATCTATCTTCCAGCAAAGAGAGGCAGGAGCCTGTGGTCACCCAGGTTCCTGCTCTTAACCCCTTCACAAAAAACATGTGGGAACAATGCTCTTAACAAACCCAAAACTTCAGGTAGCCAGACCCCAGAGATCCAGTGAGCTCACAAGGCAGTCCTTGCTAGTGTCTAGAAGTGCCCCTGGCATAAGGCCACAAAGCCCTTGCTCAACTTGGGAGAGGCTTCTAGGATGCTCTGGTCCACAAGCGAAGCCTAGCAGGCCATAGGCTGGCCAGCAGGGATTAGGATGGACCACAAAAACAAAAGCTCCCTCTAAACACTCACCCTGAGCAATGACATCTTCGATGTTTTTCCCGTTCAGCTCACTGATGACCTGGAGTAAATAATCACAGTCAGCATTCAGTCATGCCTGGCATGAGGACAGAGCTCATGCATGCGCTACACAGGAAGATGCTCTAAAGCTTCTAGGCCTGCACTGTCCCACACGGTGGCCATCAGCCACATGTGACTCCTACGATTTGAGATCCTGGGAGCAAGAACTAGATACCAAAACCCTTAACACTTAGCACTGAGAAGCAAACAAAAAATATCCTTGCTAATATAATACGTATTAAAATTACGTGACAAATCTCATGGATGAAGTGGCATTAAAATTGGCCTTTTAGCAGGGCCCGGGTGGATGATGCCTGTAATTCTAGGTACTTGAGAAGCTGAGGTGGCAAGGATCACGACTGGAGGCCAACCTGGTCAAATATTTTTGAGATCCCCTATCTCCAAAATAACCAGAGCAAAATGGACAAAATGGTTCAAACAACAGAGTGCCTGTTTTGCAAATGCAAAATCTTGGGTCCAACCCCCAGTCCCACCAAAAACAACAACAAAAAAAAGTTTTTTTGAGGCCCCGAGGATGCAACTCAGTGATAGAGCACTGCCAAATTCCAGGCCCGAGGTTCCATCCCCAGCACAGCCAAAAAAAAAAAAAAAGGACGAGTTAAAGTTTCCTTTAGGAACATCTGTGTTGCCTTAAGCTTCTGCTAAACCATGCTAACCAGGACTTTAGGTGACACACTTTTGTTTCTTTGACTGTTCCAGAGCCCTTAAAAGACTACCCCCAAATTAAGCATCCTGGAGTGGCTTGTAGCTCAAGCAGAGGAAAATCAAACGTGCAAGACCCCGAATTCAAGCCCCAGCATCGCCAAAAAAATAAAAAAATAAATAATAAAGCATCCGAAGTGGCACAGGCCTACCCCCCCCAGTCTCCAACAGGAGGGTAAAACCCGGATCGGGTAGGCCGGGAACCAAGGGCGGCGATACCTTGTTGAGCCGGTCATCGTCCGCCTCGATGCCCACGCTATCCAGGATCTTCTTGATGTCCTTGGCGCTGGGGGACGAGTTGCCCCCGAGGGCGGCCAGCAGATAGGAGGCGACGTAGCGCATGCTGTAGCGGACAGAGAGCGCGGCGGCGGCGGCGGCATGACGCCCGTGGCCTCCTGCTCCTCCCCCTCCCCGGCAACCCGGGCGGGCAAGTGAGGCCGCGTGTGGCCCGGCTCCGAGTCCTCCGTTCTACGGAGGCCGCCCACCTCGCGGTCCCCGCCCGTCACCCACTCCACGGCTCTCGTCCCCGCCCGCCCACCGGGCCCACTCAGCCCCACTCACTTGGTTGGGACCGATTGGCCTCAAGCGTGCGACCTCAGCGGCGTCGGCGAGCGAAAGGAAGACGCCCGTGCACGGGGGCGGGGGTAAGCCGCTACCCAGAAGCCTCCGGGACGCGCACGCGGCGCCCCGCGAGGGCGCCTCCGAGTGACGTAACGAGGAACTCAGCCAATTACGATGGGATTGAAGCCCTTGGCCCGTCCCCAGTCGGCAGTTACTGCAGCAAAGGCGGAAAGGCCGTTGCGGGACTGGCTGCTCGTGTTGGGTATGGTGAGTGTCCCCCGAAATTTGTGGGGCGGCGGGAGAAGGGACTCGAAGGGGACTGCTTCTCTCTTCGGCGCGTAGCGCCCCCAGTATGCCACGCGGCGCCTACAGTTCCCAACATGCAGCGCGGTCGGGAAACGCGTCTTTACTGGCGAACTGCAACTCCCATGATGCATCGCTGCTGGAAATTCGGGAGTGCCGCTGGCCTGCGCGTGCTGCACGTGGACCCGGGTGGAGACAGTGAGGTGGATGGCCGGGGACTGGCTCTGCGTAGGTTCCCCAGGTGGAACCAGGGTTCCAACGTCTGAGCCAGGCCGGTGGCGCCCATGTCCAGCCGGGATCAAAGACATGGGCGAACTCCTCGGGTCCAGTGACTGCAGCCCTGCCTAGAGGTAGTCCCTGTGTGCCATTTCCATTGGGTCCGAGCGGCCCGGTCAGAAGAGCGGGAGCCCACAAGGTGGCAGCACCTTTGCCCACGCTCCTTGGGAGTGGTGAGGTCCCAGTGATCGGCCCCATGCTGGCTATGACCCAAATGACCTGCCCAGGACAGACCTCTCTGTCCACGTGGACAGCATATATCACGGGCTTCTTCGCGTCAGGGATTCTGCTACATTCTGGGGTCCTGAGGGAACTGGCTCGGCCCCACTAACGCAGAGTTTAATGCTCTTGGGGATGAAGAGGCAATCGGAGCTACATGGTCGTAGGAGGCCTTGGTGTGGGAAACTCAGGAACCCAAGAGGATGACTTTGAGTTGAAAGATGAGGAGCAGGCTTTGCTAAGGTCCAGAGCGGTCACCAAGCCAAAGGGTCATACCAAGGCTGAAAATTGGGAGAGAGATGGGTTATGTGGGCAGTACCAGCATGGACTCCAAGGACAGCACACACGCTCCTCTGTGTGTATATAGCTCATCATTTGCTAGTGTGTGAGCCCACAGTTCTCAGGTAGGGTCTCGAACTATTTGCCTGGGCTGGCTTTGAGCCAAGATCTTCCTTCTCTCTGCCTCTGGGGCAGGAGGAGAGTTAAAGGCTAGCATGGACTACATCAGGAGACTGTCAAATTTGATCAAAGAACATTACATACATGTAGGAAATCACAGTGAAACCTCTTTGTACAATATACACTGAGAAAAAAGAGTTAAGTTACACCCCGGGGGCTTATTTATGCTGTGAGGAAAGAAGGGCTCAGGTGGGCACACTAAGCAGTTAGTGGGAGGCCATCATACTGACCAAAGCAGTACATGAAGTTGCTGGAGCCAGGTGCCATATAATCAAACTTTGAGATGGACACTGGCACACACCTGTAATCCCAGGAATCTGAGACCTGCCTGGGCAATTTAGTGAGACAGTCTCAATAGAGAGCTGGGGATGTGACTCAGTGTTGGAGTACCTACCTAGCATAAAGTCCTGGGTTCATTCCCCAGTACCAGAAAAAAGGCAGTTTCCCAAAAATCAGGAGTCACAGCAACCAGCCAGCATAAGGAAGTTCCCTGCAGTTTTATCTGGTCTTGGTGGGACTGAAATTTAAACTCAGGGCTTTATACATGCAAAGCAGGGGTCTCTACCCCTTGAGCCATACCTCCAGTCCATTCTGGTGTGATTATTTTGAAGATGGGGTCTGTTTGAACAATTTGTCCTCAAACCTCGATCCTCTTGATCTCAGGCCCCCCAAGTAGCTAGGATTATAGGCGTGAGCCACTGACTTTGAGTACAAAGTATAGCGATATGTGAGTGAAGCCGTGGAGGACAGGGACCACACATCAGGGCCTGTGGATAGTCACCTTGGTGTTGGCTGTTTTGGGTGGTCACAGCAGTCCTTCCTTCTCCCTGGTGCAGGCTTGGGGAAGGGGCATGGGGGAGGCAGCTTCCTCAGGAACCCTCACAATGGGTTCCCCACTTTGTTTTTCTCTTAAGTGACTCCAGAGCAAGCTCAGATAGGGCAGACAGTGAACCACACAAGTTCAGTGAACATTGAAATATCCAGGGGGAATTTGCTGCATTGTGGTCTGCTTTTTTCAAAGGGTGAGGTTCTAAATCTTTATGATGAGGGATGACATCCACCCCTAAGGGACACCAGAGTCTTTCAGGACAGGATCCCCCTTTCCCCATGAGGACAATTACCTATAATGATGAAGCTGTACCCTAGAGCAGGAATAATCTTGGGAAACCAATGGCTCCTATCAACTAATTATAGTAATGACAGCTTCTCCAGAACCGTTGGAAAACGACTGAGCCAGTGACCACCTGTGACTGGGACTATTTAACCAACCATACTTGTCACTCCTGCTCCTAATTCTTTGTCTATTTAAGCTAAAAGTTCACATCTGTACCCTGAAGATGGCTAAAGATGGGCTGAATGCTTCTGCTCTTCCCGTGGCCACCTGTGCCACCTAATAAATCTTTCTCTGCCTTTTACATTACTGTCTCTTTATTTGGGGGCAATTAGCCAGACCTGACATGTGGAACCACAGGAGTTTAGGCCTGGGACCTAAACTTCCCACTTTAGCTTAAGATAAGAGGTGGCAAATTGTGTTTTTAATGGTAAAATAATACATAAAATTTGGGGGTTTTGTGGTACTGGAATCTGAACTCAGGGCCTCATTTTTCCGAGACAGATGCTCTGCTACTTAAGCCAAGCCTTCAGCCCTCAGTCATCTTTCAGTGTGCAATTCAGTAGTGTTAACTGCATTCACATTGATGTGCAACCATCACCTTTACTCATCTTTGGATGTCTTCATCCCAAAGTGAAATTATACTCATTAAACTCCATAGCCTCTGGCACCCACAATTCTATTTTGTTTCTATGATTTTCGAGTACTTTAGGTACTTAATATAAATGAAATCATGTGGTATTTCTTTTTGTGTCTGGTGTCTTTCATTCAGCAATAGATTCAAGGTTTACCCATTTTGTAGCATGTATCAGAGTTTTGCTTTTTTTTTTTTTTTTTTTTTTGGTGGGACTAGGGTTTGAACTCAAGGCTTCACACTTGCAAAGCAGGTGCTCTACCACTTGAGCCACACCTCCAGTCCATTTTGCTCTGGCTGTTTTGGAGATGGGGGGAGGGAATGCAAACTCCCTGCCCAGACTGGCCTTGAACCTTTATCCTCTCAGCCTCCCAAGCAGTTAGGATTATAGGCACGAGCCATTGGCACCCAGCAGAATTTCATCCCTTTTTAAGGGTGAATAATATTCCTGTGGTTTTTTGTTGTTGTTGTTGTTGTTGTAAATATAAAGATCGCTCTGGCAACTTTGTGGAAGTAGGGAGACCTGGAAGGAGCCTGTCCATTCCACAGACTGTTCCTTTGTTCTTTTCCAGACTACAGCTGTGTTGGATGAGGACAATGGATGAATGAAACACGGCCCCTATTTGGTAGGGATCACGGGTGGTGCAGGAGGCAGAGACCTGGCTTGAGGTTCCCTGGTTTGAGACCTGATGTTGGCTTTGATACCCCTGAGCTACAAGGTTTGGGCAAAATCTCAGAACCTCCTTATCTTCCCTTGTGAGATTCACAGGAGGTTTCAAGGAGGTTGGGCTGGGAAGCCCACTGCCTGGATAACTCCCACAGTGATTCCCGTAAAGGAGGGTCCGTCTGAGCCTAGGCTGGGAAGGAGGCCCTAAGGGATGGCTGAATGGGGAGGGGAGGGAGTTACCTTCGTCGGGGTTCCACTTCTAGCAGGGGATGGGTGTGCTCTCCCATGCCCCCGCCCTGGGATCGCACTTGAGGCCAGGGCTGCGCGCCCCATAGCAGACCTGGGGCGCCAATAGTCCCCCTGAAAGGGCGGTTTGCTGGCGCGGGACTGCAAATTCACAGGGACGACAGGACACCGAGAGCATCGCGGGCGGCCCGGCGGGAGGAGGCAGGCGGGGAGCGCTGGACCGGCGGGCTGGCCGGAGGGGCGGGGCCGGAGGGGAGGGGTGGCCGCCCGGAAGCGCGCGGGCGGGAACCGGGCGCCGAGGGCGCGCAGACCGGCGCGGGGCCCGGGCGCCCCGGGAGCGCAGGTACGCGGCGGGCTGCGGGAAGTTGGCTGCGGAGAGGGCGGCTCCGAGGGTGCCGGCGCCGCGCTCTCCAGTGGACCGAGGTGCGCAATGGGAGCGGCTGTTGGAGAGCCTCCTACAGGGGCCGCAGTGTGGGGTCCTGGGTCCAGGTGTCTGAAGTTCCCTTGGTCCCCTCCTTCCACTGCTTGACCCTTGTAGGCACAGTCACCCCGCAGAGGATGTGAGGGTTCTAGGTATTCCCACTGATGAGTGTGAAGGTTGAAGATGGGCTCCTATCCACAGAGCTCCGGGACAGCCAGAACGACCTAACGAGTCTGGGGTCCCTTGGCCAGATTCCAGAATTAGAACATGAAGCCTCACTCTTGGTCCCCCTCAAGCAGAGCTCCCTAGGCTCTGCTGTGCATGGCAGCCTCTCTGTCTGATGTTCCAATAAGCTTTAGGGATCCCATTCCCCAATGACATTTCCAGTAGTTATGTAGGCCCCAGGGCTGCAGAGTGGCCACAGGATCTCACCCTCCTGTCCAGTGCAGGCCCTGGGCTCTGTGCACCAGATGGCCTGCAAAAGATTCCCAATCCTTGTTCCCAATAGTAAGCAGCTGGTCCACACTCCCACCCACTCCTCCCCCTGCTTCTGCAGCTTTCCTTGGCCCTGCCTGAGCAGGCCTGCCTGACGAGCTGGGACATGTCCAGCCCCCAAGGACCTTCTGTGGGTGATGGCTGCAGTGTTGGAGGGGCTGGAACCAGAGGAAGCTGCTGCTGCTGCAGAAGATACTATAAGACGTGCTGCAGAGGCTGTGGATGCTGGACCTCGGGCGCCTCCTCTCTTGCCTGGGCACCAGCTAAACTTGGACCTATACCCCAGGGGCTGCCACCGGCTGCTGCACTTGTGTGCCCAGCAGCCCCAACAGCTGCTGCAGGTGGAGTTCTTGCGGCTGAGCACCCACGAGGATCCCCGGCTGCTGGAGGCCACCCTGGCCCAGGTGCCCTGGAGCCTGCTGCACCTCCGTTCCCTTGTCCTCAAAGGTGAGCACCCTCGTTCCTGACCCTGCCCCACCTCTAGCTCTGCCCTCACTCTGCTTCTTGATCCTCACAGGAAACCCCAATCCCAGCCCAAGCCCCAGGCTTCTCCCTCCCTGCTCCTGGTCTCTGTCTTCAGCCCCATCACTTTCCTCCCCAAGGTGAGGCTGGCTGGGCTGTGGCTCCCCAGCCCTGAAGCTGCCCTGTGGGGGTCTCTCTGTAGACCCCAGCTGGAGTAGGTCACAGGTGATGCTGTCAGCTGACACGAGCCCTCTCCCTCCATCTGTCTTTCCAGTGTTTCTGTCTCTGTCTTGCTGGGGTTTAACAGGGAGACCTGTGCCTCCTGAAAGGCTTTTTCTTGCTGGCAGGGCCAAGCTGGAACCCTGACTCTGAAGGCTATGTTTGTCTCCCTCAATTCCAGGAGGGCAAATCCGAGGGCCCTTGGGTGCCTGCCTCCGGGGTACCCTAACCACACTGCCCACTGGCCTAAGTGGTCTCGCCCACCTGGCCCACCTGGATTTGAGCTTCAACAGGTTGGAGACCCTGCCAACCTGCATCCCACAGCTGCACAGCCTGGATGCACTCCTGCTCTCTCACAACTGCCTCTCAGAGCTGCCTGAGGCCCTGGGGGCTCTGCCAGCCCTCACCTTCCTCACTGTGACACACAACTGCCTGCAAAGGCTCCCCACAGCACTGGGGACCCTGTCCACCCTGCAGCGCCTTGATCTCTCTGAGAACCTTCTGGACACTGTGCCCCCTGAGATTGGAGGCCTGAGCAGCCTCTGTGAGCTCAATCTGGCCTCTAACCGGCTGCAGAGCCTCCCAGCCTCCCTTGGTAAGTAGCAACCACACCTGGCTTGGCTCACCAGTCTGAGGGAATGTCCCTGCAGCCCTGCAGTCTTGGGGCTTTGGCCTTTGAGACTTTGAGACTTTGCTCCTTCCAGGCTGTCCCTTGCCTGCCCTCTTACCTCGCTGGCCTCCAAGGCTACACCTACAGCTTTGTCCAGCCGTGGGGTACAGCTTCCCTAGAGCCCAGAGCATGGGCACCCTGTTGTAGCACTCCGGGGCCAGGGGTGGCCCTGAGCAGTTCTCTGCTAGACCTAAGTCAGTGCCTGCCCACAGCGGGGCTGCGGTCCCTGCAGCTTCTCCTTCTGCACAGCAACCTCCTGACCTCAGTGCCTGCTGGCCTGGCCCACCTCCCAATGCTCACAAGGCTTGACCTGAGGGACAACCAGCTCCGGGACCTGCCCCCCGAACTCCTAGATGCCCCCTTTGTGCGCCTACAGGGGAACCCCCTGGGTGAGGCCTCGGCAGATCCTCTGAGCCCCCCAGGTAGGCTTGGTGTGAGGTAGGGCCTGGACACAGGGAAGATACTGGCACCATCACCATCCTGACCACTGCTCTGTCCCTTGCACAGATACACCTGAGGTTCCAGAAATGCCCAGACTGTTCCTGACTTCAGATTTGGACAGGTAATGGGGTAGAAAGACTAAAGGATATCTGACCATGCTGTTACTGTGGCCACACTGAATCCCTTGCCCATGCCACTAGACATCTTGCCCATGACTCCTAGAGTCCCCAGGGGGTCAGGCTCCAACACACAGGCCCTTCTGTGTCTCATACCTCTTCTTTCCTCATTCAGCTTCCCTGTGACTCCCCACGGCTGCTCTGTGACCCTGGCCTGTGGTGTCCGCCTACAGTTCCCAGCGGGGGCCACCACTACTCCAGTCACCATCCACTATCGACTGTGGCTGCCGGAGCCAGGCCTCATCTCCCTGGGTCCTCACGATTTCCTGCTCAGTGGTGTCTTGGAGCTGAAGCCCCATGGGGTGGCCTTCCAGCAGGTATGGACAGGGTATGGCGGGAACCAGGTGTGGAAGCCTCAGGCCTGACCCCAGCCCTCACACTACCATTGCTTGGCAGGATGTGAGCCTGTGGCTACTCTTTGTACCCCCACGGACCCGTCGGTGCCGTGAGGTAGTGGTCAGGACCTGGAGTAACAGCATCTGGAGTGACCTGGAGACCCACCTGGAGGAAGAGGCACCCAAGGTGAGGGCTGCCCAGGTCTATGGGGTGGCAGTAAGCAGCCCATCCTGACTCCATTCATCCCTGCCCATTGCTTCTGCCCTAACTCTGTTTCCTCTGACCTTGTCCCCACCATCACTTCCCAGCGGCTCTGGGCTCGCTGCCAGGTGCCCCACTTCTCCTGGTTCCTTGTGGTTTTGCGTCCTGTGTCCAATGCCTGCCTGGTACCACCAGAGGGGACCCTGCTGTGCTCCTCTGGTCATCCTGGGGTCAAGGTTATCTTTCCCCATGGGGCCACGGAGGAACCTCGTCATGTCTCCATGCAGGTACAGTCAGGGCATTGCCAAGGGTGGCAGTTGGCACCCTAGTACACAGATGGGCACTCAAGTGACCTCTCTGCTTAGGTGGTCCGTATGCCTGGCCGAGAGTTGCAAGCCCTCCTTGGGGAGCCAGAGGCCGCGGTGAGCCCTCTGTTGTGTCTCTCACAGAGCGGCCCCCCCAGCTTCCTCCGACCAGTCACTGTGCAACTGCCTCTGCCCCCTGGTGTCACAGGTAAGGCTGCCATGTGACATCCTTGAACCTATGGCCATAGGGTAGAGGGGACAGTGCTTAGCAGTGGGAGGTGCACCTGGGTGGGGAGCCTCAGCCTGCTGTCCCCTCTTGTCCAGGCTTCAGTCTGGACCGTTCCCGCTTGCACCTGCTGTATCGGGCCCCTCCCGAAGCTACCTGGGATGACATCACAGCTCAGGTGGCACTGGAGCTCACCCACCTGTATGCGCGCTTCCAGGTCACACACTTCTCCTGGTCAGTACCCACCTCCCCCAGCTTCCTCAGTGTCCCATCTTCCAGTCTGTATAGTCACACCCCATTCCCGGCCCTCCCAGGTACTGGCTCTGGTATACCACCAAGACCTGTGTGGGGGGCCTGGCACGGAAGGCCTGGGAGCGGCTGCGGCTGCACAGAGTGAACCTCATCGCGCTGCAGAGGCGCCGGGACCCCGAGCAGGTTCTGCTGCAGTGCCTGCCCAGGAACAAGGTGGGGCAGCAAGAGGACAGTGGGGTGGCCTGAAAGCTGGGGTGGGAACAGGGCTTAGGGCTCTGAGCCCAGTTGGTGCCCCTGCAGGTGGATGCCACCCTGCGGCGGCTGCTGGAGCGTTACCGTGGCCCTGAGCCCTCCGACACTGTGGAGATGTTTGAGGGCGAGAAGTTCTTTGCAGCCTTTGAGTGTGGCATTGATGTGGATGCTGGTAGGGCTTTCCTGCCTAGAGGGGCCTGGGGTCTTGCCCTTTGACCCTCGTCCTGAGTCCGTCTCCTGCCCCAGACCGCCCAGACTGTGTGGATGGCAGGATCTGTTTTGTCTTCTATTCACACCTGAAGAATGTGAAGGAGGTATACGTCACCACCGCCCTAGACCGGGAGACTCAGGCTGTGCGAGGCCAGGTGGGTTGATGGACTGATAGGGTAGGGCCTCCCAGGTGCCTGACCAGAGGCCAGCGCTCTGAACCACACCTGATCCCTCCTCAGGTGTCCTTCTACCGGGGCTCAGTTCCTGTGGAGGTGCCCCAGGAGGCTGAGGCTGCCCGGCAGAGGAAGGGCGCAGATGCCTTGTGGATGGCCACTTTGCCCATTAAGCTGCCGGTGCGATCTGGGGGGGGGTGAGCTAAAGGGCTGGGGCGGAGTCCTGGGGGTGACCGAGGATGTGAGGATGAGGTCAGGATTACTGCATTTCGTCCTCCCAACAGAGACTCCAGAGGTCTGAGGGGCGTGGGCAGGGGGCTGGCCTCTCCTTGGTGCCTCTGAACCTGGGTGATGCTGACACTGGCTTCCTGACTCAGAGCAATCTGCTGAGTATAGCTGGGCGCCTGGGTCCTGACTGGCCAGCCGTGGCCCTGCACCTGGGCATGCCCTACCGGGAGCTGCAGCGCATCCGGCATGAGTTCCGGTGAGTTCCAGTGAGCCTCCCACTGCAGCCTTTGGGCTGGGCCCTGCTGCATCTAGAGTTCTGTTCATCAGTGGCAGTTTTTTCCAGGGATGGGAGGCAGGGCAAACAGGGCTCTTAAGGGAGGGTCTAGCTACAACTGGCCCAAGGAGCAGGAAACCCCCTAATGAGGAGTGACCCTGAGTGTGGCAGGTGATTCTGGGCAGAATTCCTCTGTCACTAACTCCCTTCCTCTCCAAGGGATGACCTGGATGGCCAGATCCGTCACATGCTCTTCTCCTGGGCCGAGCGCCAGGCTGGAAACCCTGGGGCTGTGGGGCTCCTGGTGCAGGCACTGGAGCAGAGTGACCGGCAGGATGTGGCTGAAGAGGTCCATGCCATCTTGGAGCTTGGTCGCCACAAGTACCAAGACAGCATCCGACGCACGGGCTTGGCCCCTGAGGACCCTGCTCTACCGGGCACTTCATCTTCACAAATCTCAGAGCCTGCCCAGGCCTAGGCCCATGGGCTTGAGCTGGCCCCTGATGTGCCCTGGCACAGCCACTACCCTCAACCCTCTGCCCTGTGTGGGGACAGTGTCTCTGTATGTAACAAACCAGCAGTGTTCTGCTGTCTCAGAGTTTGGTTTATTTGTGGATTGGGGGAGGGAGGAGGAGGGAAGGGCTGGCTAGGTGAATTGAGGCCCAGCCCCTGCTGGCCCACACTTCCTCATGGCTCTTGTTCCTGCTGCTTCCCCTCACCATGCCAGGCCCTCCTGTTGGTCCTGATCTTCCAGAGCTGGGGAAGAGCCCACTCTACAAAGTAACACTGCTGTGGGCTGAGATGGATACAAAGTCACCTGTGTGGCAGGATGGCCACAAACGCCCTGCTCACCAGCTCTTGGCCAGCTCAGTCTCAGTTGCCTCAGAGCACATTCTCTCTAGCCTGGGGACCCCTCTTCCCCCAGGACACCCCCCATGCAGGTGCTCCCCGCCACCTTCCCAGACCATGCGTCCTGGTCCCTACAGGGCTCTGGGGGACACCCAGGCCGGTCTGTGCGCGCTCAAACCCTGGCCTGGAGGGTGGCCTTGGCTCGAGGCTGTGGTCTGGCTGGGCGCAGTGGCCAAGGTGGCCGGGAGGGGGAGCCGAAGCCGTGGAGCGGCCCGGGGGCGGAGCGCGCTCGCTGCCGAGCGGACGCGCCTCCCCGCCTAGGTGCAGACCAGGCGCGCGGCACAGCGGGGAGGCGAGCGCGGCGGTTGAGCGCGGTGAGTGCCCGCCGGACGGCTCCCGTGGCGCCCACCCGAACGCGGCCAGGGTTAGGAGGGCCAGGGGTGCCACGGTGGCCGGGGGAGGTGACAGCTGCCGGGGCAAGACGGCTCCGGCGGGGCCTGGGCAGTTGGATGCTCCGACCCACGTCGTCCGGGTGTGGGAGGCCGTGCTCGGCCCCGGCGGTGCCGGGCGCGCTCCCTGCGCACACGTGTCCTCTTCGGGTGGGAGTCTGGGGCTGGAGCCCAGGGAGGAGAGGCCTGGCGGGGAGGGAGGGGGGCACACACGCGGAATCCCAGGGGACGTGCGTGGACACGTAGGTGGCCAGAGCTTCCGTCGCCTTGTCCGGAGACAGCGAGGCCAGCTGAGTCCCGACAGTGGAGTAGAGGACAGAGATGTCTTGGAACCGAGAACGCGGCCCCCAGCTCACTCCTCTTTGTCCACCGTTTGGGGCATCTCTGGGCCTCTTCAGCTAGTAGGACAGAGGAAAGGACTGGGGAAGGCTGAATGGGACGCTGACGGACAGCCCCAGGCTCTGAGCCTCAATCCCGTTGCCTTTCTTGGAGGTAGATGCTGCTGGGCGGCTACATCACTGGGAGCTTTCACCCCTGGCTCTGGGAAGAAGCAGTATGGTCTTGCGGGAGCCTTTTGTATGCTCACCCGCCTTCTCCCAGCCTGCCTGTGGCCTCCGGTTTACCTGACTGGGGAAGGTTGGAACAGCCAGGCAGACAGCCCTGGGGCCTCAGCCGCCTGGACACAGCCAGGTTTCTATGGCAGCAACATGCAGGGTGCTGGGGAGGACCCTTGACAGCTGTCTCAAGCAGGGTGGAAATGTTGGAATAAAGACGGAAAAGGGGAGGGGTCCAGTCCAGTTGGGTGACAAGGGTCCCCTTTGCCAGTTGCTCACAGGCAGAGCTCCTCACTCTTCAGCCCAGCAACTGTCCTCCCCAATGCTCTGGCCTGCCTGAATGGTGGCCTGGGGTTCAGGGCTGACTCAGCTCTGGGGAACTCAGTGCCTGCCGCTCTCCTCCCCTCCCACTTCAGATGGTCAGTTTCACTGCCAGGACCCCCCAGACGGAGTAGGGTCTGGGGAGAAAGGGGGCTGCTCTTGGAGGCAGTCCAGGAGAGCAGGGCCCAGAAGGAGAGATGAAGCCCTGTGGTAGCAGGGACGGAGGCTGTGACTGGTCTAAACCTGGAGGGAGGAGTAGGCTGATGAGGAGGGAGAAAGGCTAAAGTTCAGAGGTCATGCCCTTTGCCACAGGCTAGGGCAGAAAGAGACCTTTTCCCTCTGCAGCCCTGTGTGTTGCAGGTGACTGGTCAGAGGGCACTGGGAGTGCTGGCCTCACGAGCTCTGTACCTGCCAAGTGAGGGCCTGTGGATGGCAGCCAGTGCTCTGTGAGATCTGGGAACCCTTTCTCTGCCCCAGCATGAAATTCCCTGATACACATCCTTCTCTCCACCCCCCCACCCACAACCAGCCAAATGGGTGCAGACCCATTCTCAAGGGGCACATGCAGGTGCATACTGAAGAAGCACACAAGAAGCCCTAATCCTCTGGGTGCCTGGGTTCAGCCCACAGGCTGTAGACAAACCTGCTGGGTGTCCCGGGAAATGGTGACCATGGGCTGGGGTCCCTGTGGTGGGTGGCCTGGCCTTCTGGGTCAGCCTGCCCCTAGGATCCAAGGCTGGGCCCTGGCCCCAGAAGCTGTATCACCCCTTTTCTTTGCTTTCCTAAAACTGCAGGGATCCTCAGCTTGCCCAAAATGAAAGAGAAAGTCGACCCCCCTACACACCAGGTCCGCCCCGCCCCACCCCGCCCCTTGGCCAATCCCTGCCTTCTCGAGCCTCCTCCCCTGGCCACTGCTTTATCTTCACTGGTGAGCTGGCTTGTGGAGTGGTGTGGAGCGGTGGCTTTGTGGAGTCCCATGCACCTCGGGGTGAGCAGGACCCAGCGGGCAGCAGGGACAACGGAGGGTGGGAGGACCCAGAGACCCTTGGTAGTCCAGTGTGGTGAAGGTCACAAGTCCTCTGAGGGCCCTGTGTGACCAACCAGCCGTGTGACCCTGGTTGGAAGAACTGTGGGTGTTAGCTTGTGATAACTGACCTCTGGGAGGGAAGGCACAGGAGAGGACCTCTGAACTCTGAACCTCACAGCTCAGTTTTTATGACTGTGTTTCCCATGTGAGGCCCCTGAGACTAGCTTTTGGCTTCCCAGCCCCGATGCTTGTGGGACAGGCTTTTTCTTTCGCCCCCAGAGGGGATGGGGATGCCAGCTTCAGGAGCAGGAGAATGGAGAGAGGAAAGGCAACCCCCAGCTGCCTCCTCATGCCACACACTCCGCAGCTCCTGGAGGTCTTGGTTGCTGGGTTCTGTGTCTGTCTGTCTGTCTGGGGGTGAAATTCCCAGGGAAATGGGGAGGAGTGTGGGTGAGAGAGCTGAGTGTGGGAGGGGTGTCATGCTTCTCCAGGGGAAGAGGGACCCACGACCCAGAGTGGGCTGCCACGAGGGTGGGATTTGTCCCTGGGGTGGCCAAGCCCTTTTGGGTAGCCATTAGCTTAATCCTGGTGGAGGGTCCTGGAGCTACCAAGAGGAGACCCCAAGCTTCCATTCTGAAGACAGGTGCCAGCTGCCTCTCTGCTCAAGGATGGGGGACAGTTACCACAGTGCAGACTAGGGTCAAATTACGGCTGCCTAGAGGCACCTGGCCCTTTAAAAGCTGGAGCTTGCCTTGTGTGCACGTGAGCGTGTTCGTGCAAGGCTGGCTGGGAGGCCACCGCAGCCCAGCCAAAGAGAGAGCACCGAGGGGAATCCAGGTGGCTCCAGGGATGGGTGGCCTCCCCTCCCTCCCCCATGCATCCCCTGGCCACGTGGATGGTTCCAATCTGGGGTGGGGAGGGGGATGAGGGGCTTGATGCCACATGTGATACTGAGGGTGGGGGTGGGGAGGCTTTGTCCCCTGATGGGTCCCACCCTCGGCTGATTCCAGTCCCTTCTTCCTTCCAGGTGGCTCACTTCGTGATATTCCCCTGAAGGTGGAGCACGACCTTCCCCGTAGTCCTACCCATTCTCAGCTACCATTGCTGCGGTCCCTCCCCTCCTCCCCATCAGCACCTCCGCTCCACGCCTGGCCTGGCGTCCACTGCTCCCGCTGCACCTGGTGTACTGAGTTAAATGGCTGATAAGCAGATCAGGTCAGAAGCAACAAGGCTTCAGTCTTGGCTTTGCACCCTCGCCCCCGCCCCCGTCCGACCCCTGCCCCGTGGCGGAGGAAGTGGGTCCTGACACCTGCCTCTGCCACACATAGCCTGCCAGCCAAGCTCATCAATGGTGGCATCGCTGGACTGATCGGGGTCACCTGCGTATTCCCCATCGACTTGGCCAAGACACGGCTGCAGAACCAGCAGAATGGCCAGCGCATGTACACAAGCCTGTGAGTGCCTCTCTGTCTGGGGCAGCGTGTGGCATGGGAGGAGGGCGCCACCTGCGCCTCAGCTCTGCTCCTGCGTTTCCCTCGCCGGGATAGAGGAGAAACTGAGGCTAGGGCCGGCCTGAGGGAGATCCCATCCAGTCTAGACTTTTTGACTTTGGCCTCTCTGTCAGCCCTGGACACTCCAGGCTGGGCAGAGAAGGAAGCCGCTGGCTGCATCTGCACTCTGGGATGGAGTCTGGCATGGCCCCCAGCTCACTCCATCCTCTTGGCTACAGGTCTGACTGTCTCATCAAAACCATCCGCTCCGAGGGCTACTTCGGCATGTACCGGGGTGAGGTTCTCAGATGGGCAAGCCTGGTTGGGAGCAGGGGTGGGGCAGCAGCCTGGGCCTCCAGTGTAAGTATGGATATATCTCAGGGTACTGGCTATACCTGGCCTGAGTTGGCCATCAACCCAACTCTGAGTTCTGGGGGGCATTGGATGTCTGAGGGGCTAGACCTCTGGTGAGTGGCAGGTCTCAGCCCCTCCTCTGGGCATTACTGCTATCCCACACTTAATGCCAGTGCCTGGTGTGGCAGGACACTAGGTGGATCTGTTTGTCCACTCTGGTGGCTGCAGTCTTCTCCCCTGCCTTCCGGGACAGGCAGAACCACATCTGTGCCTGGGGGCTAGGAGCAAGTGGGGGCATTATGCAAAGCAGCTTAGAAAACAATCCCCAGGCCTGGATTTGCCTGGGTGTTGTGCAACCCTGAGCCTCGGCACTGACCACCACCTCTGCTGAGCTCTGACCTACACCAGGTCCCTGCCAGTGGGAGCACCTTCTGTCTACCAGGTGGGAGGTGTCCCAGGGAGGCCCACCTCTGGGCACTGGGGACCTGGTCCTTACTGCCTTTGCATGGGGTGAGCCTGTCCTGCCAGAATCAGGGACAGATGGAGGTGAAATGCAGGGGAGGACATGGGGAGGGGACGGGAGAGTGCCAGAATGAGAGAGAAGAAGGGGAGGAGGCCACAGTGCTGCCCATCCTGTCTGGTTCCCGCCTGCCTGGCACACACCAAGCTCATATGTGGGTGAGAGGGCAGGAGGTGGCAACCAAGGAGTGCTGGGTAGGGCTTTGCCAGCCAGAGGCAAGTACTTGCCCAGAGCCTCCCCAGCGCAAGCCACTGAGTCCGTCTACCCCCCACCTGACTTACCTGTGTTCCCCAGGCCCCATCTGACCCGCATATGCCCCACAGGAGCCGCCGTGAACCTGACCCTGGTCACCCCTGAGAAGGCCATCAAGCTGGCAGCCAACGACTTCTTCCGACATCAGCTGTCTAAGGATGGGTGAGGGGCTGGGCCTGCTTAACTGCTGGGGGCCCAGGTCTTAGGGGAGGGCGTCTGGCAAACACTTGAATGGTCCTCTGGACTGATGTCAGCCTAGCCAGCCGTATCCACCTTGGGGTTCTCAGGGACTCTCCCACTGCAGGCCCCTTGCTCAGCTTCCTTAATCTTGTGAGGCAGCCTCCCCCTGCCTACATGGAGAGGCACAGAGTGGCTGCTGAGTCAGCTGTCCTTGGCCCCCAGCCACCAACAGCTTGCCAGGATTTGGGGGCAACAACCAGCTACACCATCGCTGGAGTGTGGGGCTGCAGTGACCCCTAATTCTCCATTTCTCTTTGTAAGAGAATGGTCTCACCGCCCCCCCCCGCCCCCAGCCCCTGCCCACAGGGCCATCTGTCCTTTGGGCTCCATGCCCATTGCTGGAGTGCCTAGGACTTTGGGGACTGCACCCCCACAGAGCCATGGCTGCTTCTGCCACTCCCATCCTTCTTTGTGCCAGGCATGGTAGCCATCCTTTTCTCAGAGGGCTCCTGCTTCTCATGGCCCCTGCCCTTCCCCTGCAGGCAGAAGCTGACCCTGCCTAAGGAGATGCTGGCAGGCTGCGGGGCTGGCACCTGCCAGGTGATCGTGACCACCCCCATGGAGATGTTGAAGATCCAGCTACAGGATGCAGGCCGTATTGGTGAGGGGCAAGGAGGGGATAGAGCTGGGGGTGGGGACAATGGCTGGAGTCTCCCCTGCCTCTACCCCAAGCCAGGAGGAAGAGACCAGAGCCTGTTTCTCACCAGCTGCTCAGAGAAAGATCCTGGCTGCCCAGGCCCAGCTCTCTGCCCAGGGGGGTACCCAGCCTTCAGTGGAGGCTCCAACTGGTCCTCGGCCCACGGCCACCCAGCTGACCCGTGACCTCCTTCGGAGACATGGCATTGCTGGCCTGTATAAGGGCCTAGGGGCCACGCTGCTCAGGTGGGAGGACTGGGGCAGGTGGGAGGAGGAAGTCTTCATGCCCACTCGACTAGCTCCTGTCAGCATCACGGCTGCCCTCCTCACAGGGACGTGCCCTTCTCCATCGTCTACTTCCCCCTCTTTGCCAACCTGAACCAGCTGGGCCGCCCAGCATCTGAGGAGAAGTCACCCTTCTACGTGTCCTTCCTGGCTGGCTGCGTGGCTGGGAGTGCAGCCGCTGTGGCTGTCAATCCCTGTGATGGTCAGTGCTAGGGGCTGGGCTCCCGACTGGGAATGGAGAGCCACTGGTGGGCTCCCATGCTTACCCACACACTCTCTTTTAGTGGTAAAGACTCGGCTTCAGTCACTTCAGCGAGGCATCAATGAGGACACCTACTCAGGGTTTCTGGACTGTGCCAGGTGGGCCAGGTTTCACAAGCTGGTGGCTGGGGGCTGGGCTGGACTGGGCACCAGTTCTGACCCTCTTTCCTTCGCAGAAAGATCTGGCGTCATGAAGGTCCCTTGGCCTTCCTGAAGGGTGCCTACTGCCGAGCACTGGTCATTGCACCACTTTTTGGCATCGCCCAGGTGGTCTACTTCCTGGGCATCGCTGAGTCCCTGCTGGAGCTGCTGCAGGGCCCCCAGGCCTAAGTCTACGGCCGCCCCTCCCTAGTCTATTGACTGGGGCCAGAGAAGGGTGGAAAGCCGAAGGCTGAGTGAAGGAAGGTTTCTCCCAGCCCTCCCTATCAACAGGGGAGGCAGGAGGAGGAGTGCAGGGTCCATGTAGGGGGTATACACACAGGTGTCCATGGAGGTCCTGCAGGGACAACCATTGGGATCAATGTCTTATTTATGTAGAAAATGCAGAAATCTGTACATTCCTTGAGCCAGTCCCTGACCTAGTCCTGCCTGGCCTGAACACCCCCAGGGACAGAGCTGGTCTCTGGGCTGGGGCTTCCAGGCTTGGGCTGGGCAGGCTGACCCTTCCCTTTCCCCTCCCCCCAGTCCACCAGCTCCTATTTCCAAGGCTCTCCTGGTTTATAAATGGGACCCCCCCCCCACAAACCTATTTATTGAACCTGCTGCACCCACGTGGGTCTGTCCATCCTTCCGTCCATCAGTCCATCCACACCTGCTGCTCTTGCCTTGGTCAGGACTCTCCACTCTGCCTCCTGGGCCAGTCTTGTAGGATTGGGTCTCCTGCCCCATGTTGAGCTAGGATTCCCAGGTTGAGGGATCACAATAAGTTCTGATTCCCAGAGCAACCCCCCCCACCCCACCCCCCACACACAAACACACACACTGTGGGAACTTCAGCTGGGCCCTTGGCCCTCATCCCCAGTGGGACCCAGACCTTGTATGGGGGGGTCAGATTGTATCTCCCACCCCTCAGCTGACCTGACTGCTTGAGAATGGGGCTGTGGGGATACTACTGCTACTACTGCCCCTCCCCATGTGGTCAGGCACTGTGTGCTCCTGTGTGCCCTAAGCCTTCTGCTGACCCCATCCCAAGACTTTATTTCTCCAGCCTGGCATCTCTTCTGCTATCCCTATTCCTGGACTAGGCCTGCCCAGGGAGAGGGCAGACATGAGGGCCAGTATGGAGCCTGGGGCCATGGGCTGTTGATGTTGCAGCCCTCTCAGGGTCCACCCTACTCTATGGGCCTCTGCTTCAGGCCCCTGACCACACAAAGTCCTGCCCTCCCAACCCTGGACCCTCTGTGTGAATTAAGGCAGGCACCTTCCCAGCCCTGGCCATGTGATTGTGTTGGTGATTGACCCTGAAGTGCTGGTGCTGTGTCCCCAAACCCGGCCCCCTCTGTGGAGGACCCTTCCCAGTGACACTACCTGGGGCTCAGGTCTGGCCCCCAGTTCACGGTTGCTCCTGGGAGCTGCCCCCTCCCGTCATATCTGTACCTTGAAAGCTGCTGCTGCTGCTTACAGAATTATATTTTTTTTCTTTTGAAGAGTTTTAAGGAGTTGTAATTTTTTGTGTCTTGTCATGTAAGAGGATAAATAAATATTCTAAGTAGATGCCTGCTCTCTGGGAGTCTTTGGGGATGGGGCGGGAAGCACAGCCTCCTCCCCCTGCGGGCCTAGGCCCATCCATCCGGTTAGGGCACGTCGGCCCCCACGACCCCCAGTCTGGATGGGGTACAGGAGGGCAGTCCGGGCGTCTCTCCTCGCTGAGCCTGCGCTTCCCTTCGGGGGGGACCCCAGAGCCCCAGTGGGGCGGGCCTTGGGCCGGGCGTGGTCCGGCTGACGCGGCTGCGATCGCCGTGCTCCGCCCTTTTCCGCTGGTCCTGCGCCCGGAGCGGTGCATTGTGGGAAACTCCCGAGCGCTCTCCGCGTCCACAGCCGCCGCCCGCCGTCGCCCCGCGGAGGGAACGCGCATCTCCCAGCTGGAGGCCCGACGGAAGGCGTAAGGTGGCGGGCCCCGCCGTGGGTGGGCAGGGACAGGGACGCCGGGTCCGGCGGCTGAAGCCACGGTGCCCTAGCCTTGAAGGTCACCGGGGTTGCACGCGGGCCCCTTGCTCTCCGGGGCTTAGAGGCTCTGGGGAGGGCGAGGAGGCCCGGACCTGGGGAGGGGATGTGAGAGCCAAAAATAAGGAGGTGGCAGGGGTCTTCCTTCCCTTTGCAAACTTGACGGCCACCTGCTGCAGAGCTACAGGCGTGGAGGGGCGGCAAGGGCTCCCTGGGAGGTGGGGCAGCTGCTGGGCCTCTCACAGGGACATCCTCATCATGAGGTGACCTTCAGGTGACCTTCAGTGTGGTCACTGCGCCTGGCAGAGGGGTGGAGTACCTGAGCTTCTGCCTCCCAAACTGGCTCCCTCTTCCTGGAGGTGGGGGCATTTGTCATCCTCTCAGGGGAGAGGCAGACAGGTGGCTCTAGGTCTTTAGGGCAGGACCCCACACACTGAGACAGGCTGGCAGGACCCAGTCTTCTGCCCAACAGGGATATTGAGAATCTAGGTGAGGCCTTTCCTACACCCTGGGCCTGTCCTCTACCCTGACCCACAGGCCCCACACAGTGTGTGCCTGCCCTAGACTTGTGCCAGGGATCCTCTTTGCCCCAGAGGCCACCACAGCCTTGGGCTCAGCAAAGACATCTTGCCCTTGAGCTGGATGTGGGTATTGAGGAGAGGGCACTAGAAGCTGGGTAGGGCAGATGGCCAGCTGGAGGCTGGTGGCTTGGGACTACTGTCTTGATCTCTCTGCCTCCAGGAGAGACATCTCAGTTTTCTCACCTCTGGGTCCTTGTAGTCCTAGTGGCCTAGGCCCATTCTCCACCCTGACCATCACCTGAGAGCCCAGAGGTTCTTTTCACTGCCGTGCTGCTCCTCCATTTGGGTCCTGGCCATGCTGCAGCCTGAGGCCCCTCAGCATCCTCCTCCCAAGACAGCACTGCTCATTTTGCTGGTGCCTGTCGAGGCTCCTGCCTGCCCCTCCTTGACCAAATACATTCCCAGTTCTCAAGGCTGATTCTTGCTTCCCCCTCTCCGCTGCAATTGATGGGATGGGCACAGTGTGTCCTTGAGCAAGTCCAGCTTACAGAGGAGAAGACTGAAGAGTCTGGCTGGTCTCCTCCAACTCCTCCCCCTCCCACCTGGGCTGGAACCACAGTCCTGCCTCTGTGGCTGGAGGGGCTTCTCTGGGAGTGGCCATGGGTAGATGGAGGCCAGGTCTTAGAAGGAAAGGAACTGAACCCACTAGAGGCTCCAGAGCTGGGGCTCCTGGGAAGGGTCTCCATGGTGGAGGGGGGCACTGCACAGGAGGGACACAGTCCCTTGTTACAGACTCGCTTGTGTCTCTATCCAGGCCCATGTAATGCCCAGGGGTGAGCAGTCCTGAGATACTGTGGTCCATCCACCTGCCTGTCCCACACGCCTCCACTCAGCTGCCAGCATCACCCACCATGGAGTCCAGAGGAAAGTCCAGCAGCCCCAAACCAGACGCCAAAGTACCTCAGGCCACTGAGGCCAAGGCCACCCCTGCTGCCGATGGGAAAGCCCCCTTGACCAAGCCCGTGAAGAAGGAGACCCAAGCAGAAAAGCAGGAGCAACCAGCAGCCCCTGCACCCACCCCTGCCAAGAAGACCTCTGCTAAGGCAGACCCTTCACTTCTCAACAACCACAGCAACCTGAAGCCAGCCCCCACAGCTCCTGTGGCCCCCAGCAGTCCCCATGCAACCCCAGAGCCTAAGGGTCCTGGAGATGGGGCAGAGGAGGACAAATCTGCCATCCAGGGCCCAGGGGGCCGAGGTTCCTGGCCCTGTGAGAACTTGACCCCCCTGCTGGTGGCTGGCGGTGTGGCTGTGGCAACCATGGCCCTGATTCTTGGTGTGGCCTTTCTGGCCCGGAAAAAATGATGCCTGGTGTTCAGGTGGGGGGGCCCAGACCCACTTACTGTACAGATCTGGGAAATCATTGCATGCAAGCTCACAAATAGCTATCTATACCACACATCAGATATATAGACATATAAATATACACCTATGCCCCATACTTACAGGCAGCAGGAAAGATGGACAGCCCACCTCCAGAGGACAGAGCCCATCTCTTCTGACCCTGGAGCATTGCCCTCCCAAGCTCTGGACCAGGAGGAGCCCAGGCGCTGGTGTTTGCACAGTAGGGCAGAAAGCGCTCTGACTTCCGGAAGAGGGCTCTGTCTAGACCTGGCAGCTGGGAGTAGCAAGGAAGGAGCAGACCTTGTGTGTGGCCCACCCGCTCAGCTGGTCTCTGAAGGATAGGTGTGTGCGGGGTGTGTGTGGGGGTGCCAGCCCTTGTAGGAACATTAAAGGGTGCAGCTGTTTCACTCTCCCCATTCCTGCTCTTTCGCGCAGCTGGGGGGCTGTCTGGGCCTGGTGCAGGGGGACTGACCTGCTGTCTACCTCCACCTGCTATCCATGCCTTGGCTGGGTGGAAAGGTGGAGCCCAAGAGCTGGTCTTGGGTTGACTGAGAGACTGGCAGGGAGACGGGGGGAACATGGAAGACCCCGCCCCACAGCTGTGCCTGCCCAACACTCTGGACAGACTGTCCTCCTGCCTACACCCAGTATCCTCTGAGTCTACAAGCGTATAAATGCAATAACACAGGTAGAGTAGAACCGCTTGGCGAGTGACCATCACTCACCACCCACTGCCTGCAGGAAGACCCGCTACACGGCCTCTCAGCGCATCTGGTCCCAGCTCGCCCCTTGGTGAGGTGGCTGGCAGGCTTCCAGAAGGTGGCGGTGGGCACTGTGGGGACACTGCCCTCACCTGGCCAGTGGCCGCAGGACCCCTGGGCCTGAGTGGAGGTTGAGTCTGAAATAAACTCTATTGTCTAAAGGCTGGGCTAGTGTCCTCACCTGCATGTGGCTGGGAGGGGCAGAGACTTTGTACTGGGCCATGGGGGGGCCACGGATCTACACCCTGGTCTGTCCAGGGAGTGGGCAGGAAGTCCCAGGTCCCCTGATGGGCCCTGCCTGCTACATCTGCATCCTCAGTCCTGGTGAGCTCTACCCACAGCCCAGCCCCCATTCCATCCCAGATGCTCCTCCCTGGCTTTTCTGAGAGTTCTGATCTGAGCTGGACACCCAGGGGCTGCAAGAGAAGCCCCAGGCCTGGACTGCTGGCCCCAGTGCACTGGGGAAGGGAGCTATGCTCCTCAGACTGACCTTTCCAGCAGGGAGGGGCCTTTCTCCATCATCTCTGCAGGGAACCCTCCATCCATGGATGGTGCAGAACAGGCTGCAGGGAGGTCCCCCCCATCACCTCTCTTCCACAGGCTCTCTGAGCCTGTTCTGGCTGATGCCCAGCTGGCAGGGGCTGCCCATGGCCTGGCTGTAGGTGAGGCTGTTGGGGAGTGGGCTTCAGGGAGCAAGGCCCCACTGGACCCTGAAAGTGCTTTTTTGGGCTGTGTCATCCTGGGCTCCTCTCCCACCTCACGAGTAGCTGAGGCTGGGAGATAGGTGACAGCCATTTTTCCCTTCCAGCCCTGAGAGCAGCAGCCCTGCCTATACCTCTACATCTTAGACCCACCCAACTCTGAACAGCCCCCACAGGGTGAAAACACCCCAAATGGACCCCTTGCCCTTCCCAGACCACCCTTCTTCATCTCCCCTTGACCACCATCAATACCCACAGCCTCCTCCAGGTTCTGGAGGACACCTGCCTAAGCCTTCATCCTGTGTCTGGCCCTTCCTAGGGGAGGGTACTGTGGAGACAGCCCACATGGCAGCCTTGTTCCACAGATGCTAGGACCACACTGCCTTCTGGGCACATCATTCACTCTCTTGTGCTGCTCTCCAGGCCCCTCCCTCAGTCCGTCCATCCTGTGGTTTGTACCGTAAAACAAAAACAGACAAGGACTTTCCTACACTTCAGCAGACTTGGGAGGCAGTAGAGGTTACGGTCCTTACTGGTCTGCGACCAGGCCCTTTGATGCTGTGATATTCCTCCTTTTATTTACTGATTCTTTTCTAACTTTAGAAAAGCAGAAATGAAAATACTTGTAAGACCTTGCTATAGCTTGGATCTGGAATGTCTCCCAAAGGCATTGATTCTCTTTGTTTTGGCAGTTCTGGGGTTTGAACTCAGGGCCTCATGCTTGCTAGGCAGCTGCTCTACCACTTAAGCCATTCTGCTAGCCCTATTTTGTGTGGGATTTTTTCAAGATAGTATGTCTTTGCCTGGGCTATTTGCCCAGGCTGAACTATTTGCCTGGGCTGGCTTTGAACTGTGATCCTCCTAATCTCTGCCTCCCAAGTAGCTAGGATTACAGGCATGAGCCACCAGCGCCTGGCTTGTTTTCGTTGTTTTTGAGATGGGGTTTCTCTTTGCAGCCCAGGCTGGTCACAAACTCAGGATCCTCCTGCCTCAGGCTCATGAGTGCTGGGATTACAGGTGTGGGCCGCCACCTCACCCAGCTAGGGGTTAGTGGGGTCATAGCCCCTCCTTGCTTTTTCCAGGCTCGAAGGTGAGTGGTTTTGCTCTACCACTTGTTTCCACCATACCATGCTGACTCACCACATAGACTGAAGCTTTTCAAACTGTGAGATGAAACCAGCCTTTCTCTGTGTAAATTGATTAGCTCGGGTCTTCACTGGAAAGCCGACTGACACCCTTATGGATTTGTGGATACAGTGCACACTTCCTTGGTTCACTATGAAATGCAGATAAAATGTACCATCTTTTTGTTTTGTTTTTTGAGACAGGGTCTCGCTGTGTAGCCCAGGCTGGCCTTGGATTTGAGATCCTCCTGCCTCGGCCTCACAAGTGTGAGCTCGTGAACAATGCTGAGTGCTGCTGTGAACTCAGATGTGCATACACCTTTGCGCCCCTGCTTTCCCTTCCTCAGGTGTGAACCCAGAAGTGAACTTGCAGCATCCTCTGCAGCAGGCACACCTTACCCCACCAGGCGCTGCACTGTAGCCTGTGAGTGCACTTCTCCTCTCCGGCCAAGGCTGGGCAAAGAGCCCTACAGGTTGCTCATCCTGAGAGCACTGGCCTCTCCTGGTATTTCCCAATTGCACTGAGCTGACCTGCTTCTTTCACAGGATTCTTGGCCATTTGGGTCTCACCGTATGGGATTTTTCCTCTTTGTGCCATCTGTCCATTTTTCTGCTGGTTTATTTCTTCCCTTTGCTCCTGCATGCTGAGTCTTTGCTGCAAGGTGCACCATAAAAATCTTCTTTGTGGAACAGAGGTCCTGGATCCTGGATTTATCAACTGTCACACTGTTGCTTCACTTTCCGGAATTTTGGTTAGATCTTGCCATGTCATCTACTCCAACAATTTCACCGTGGACTCACTCTCAATCTATGAGCCGCCAGAGCTTGCATGTCACTTCTTTCCATCAGGAGCAGCCCTGAAGGCCATAGCCTCAGCACGTTGACAGGCACAGCCTGTCTGAACCTGAGCCTGCACCTGCCACCTGCTACCAGTGACTGCAACTTGGTAATGATACTTTCTAAAGACAGTTTCTTCATTTTCCTAATTCCCCACTTGTGCTCAGGCCTTGGTGCCTGTTTAAGGGGAATGTCAGAACCAGGTAACAGAATTCCCCAAGGCTCAGGGCTTGGGGGGGTGCGGGTGTGTTCTGATGCCTAGCTTTTGCTTCATAGGGCCTTAAACTTTTGAGTAACCTAAGGATCCCTTCCAAAAGGAAGAGAACTCTCAGGGACACCCAGTGCTAGTTTAAGTTATTTTTATTGCAGAGTGACTGTTAAGGCCTAAACAATTACCAGATATAAAAGCATGCAGTGTATTAAAAAAAAGTACATATGTATACCCGATCAAACAGAAACCCACAAAATAGTAAAAATCAGATAGACAGCATCACCTCTAGGGCCAGAGGTGTCTGTGGGCTGGACGCTGTTGGAGGGAGACCCTGCCTTGCAGTGAGGCCCTAGACCACGTCCCCACCAAGGTTCGCAGACCCCACAACTGTGGCCTTAGCCTTTGCTTTTAGAGCACCTGTACCCACATGTGGACTAGGGCTGCACTGGTCCTCATGTCACAGACCAGCCATCAGTGTGGCTTCTTACAGAACACACAGGGCGGGGTATTTCTGCTTTCCTCTCTAGCATTGTGCATCACACGATATACTGTACTCTCCCAAGAGACCACAGCTCCTCTTTGGAGACCTCTGCCCTATAATGTATCCTTGCTGTGGCTGTGATCACTTCGCTGCCCTCCTCCAAATGTGCAGTTCTCCAGAACTGGAGTGGCGTGGTCACAGAGGGAAGAAGGGATGAGTTTGCTTATTCCCAAACAATCATACTCTTTTCCTGCAGGAGAGGCTCACCCATCCTTTTTTCTGTAGGGGAGGCTGATGCAGTATACTTGCTGACCATGCTTTTTGCATCCTGTAAGTAGGAAGTTGGCCAGCTGCTTACTCAGGCCCCAGGAACAGCACAAGAAAAAAACAGACCACTCCGGATTCAGCTGCAACAGGAGCCATGCTGACTGACCATTTACCTTTAGGCTCATCTCCCCACCATCTCAAGACAGGCTAGTTGATAATCATCATGACAATGGGCAGAAGAGATCACAAAAAACAAAGGAGGCTCAAGGGTAAGGTGCCTGCCTAAGAAGCAGGAGGTCCTGAGTTCAAACTCCCATACCACCAAAAACGACAAGAACAAAAAAGGAAGTACTGGGCAGATGCTGCTGCTGGGCCCACAAGCTTGAGGGATGGTTATGAGTTTGGTGGGCAGAGAGGAGCTCAGCATTTCAAGCAGTGAGGAGCACACAGTACTAGGGCACCCAGGAGAGGCTCTGGCGTGCTCTGAAACAGAAGAATTACAAAGAAAGAAGGCAGGGGTGACAGGAGGCTGGAGGTCCTGCCGTCAGTTTGACCCTGTGGGGCAAAGGCCCCAGGAAT